TGCAGGGCTCATAAGCTGCTGCACACTCATCTTCACGCGTCACAGTCGGCCGTGCACCCATGTAAACCTGTCCCCTGCCCCCTCATGACTGTTCCAGCGGCTCATCTCCATATAGCAGCCAAGGCCGCTCGCTGAACGAGTCCACCGTCAAACATCTTTTCAGTGTCTGTCTGTTCATGTTTTCCTCGATTAAAAAAAACTCTGCTGAAATGAAACGGCGTAAAGATATATTTTATGTTTCCTTCCATCTAACTAATTTACACCCCCATGAGTGGACTAATAATATCTGCTGTAGTCAGAGACGCTCTTATCTCCAGACGTAAAGCTCCATAGGGGATGGGTTGGAAAAATAGAAGGGTAAATGGGACAGCAGCCAGCATCATTTGCAGTGAGTAAAGGTAAAGCTTGCTTAGTTCAAAGAAGCGCGCGCTTCAGGCTAAAATGTTGTGCTATTTCCATTTATTGTTTCACACTCTCTTGACGGGACTTATGAAGTAATATAAGAAAAGCGTGTATATTTTTTGCCTCAAGCATGTGCATCCTCTGGATCTGTATGGATTATCCATTAGATGAAAGGAACAAACCCTGCAGTCAGTTTCTTTGGTGGCCAGGACTTCATTGTTAATCCTCTGCTGTATATCCTTCAGCTTCTTACATATTGATTGTCTCAAGTGATATAAATTGGGTAGAGTGCTTGCTAGAATGGTATTAACAACCTGAATCAAGACAGGATACTGCTGACATTCTCCTGCATTATTTTTTTTACTTTTGGGGGAAAATGTCAGCAATCCACTTTTGTTAGGCTTGTTAATCACTTCTGCAGTTATGCGCTCTGCAAAGAAATAAAATAAATACTAATTGCCTCCCTTTTTCAGACACTCTTCTTCAATTTTATTGCAGTTTAGTCTCCTATCTGTCACTACCCAGGCATCACAACAGCTCCTGTATTTCTTTACACAATGTTGCCATCGGGCTCTTTTCATTTCTAATATAAAGGCGCGGTGCTAGCATTTCCATTTCACATGTTTATTGGCCAGTGACTCATGCAATACATAAGGGTAGCTCATCTTAGTGAGTGACAATCCTGAAGGAGCAGTGTTGAATGTCGTGAGAAGCTCGAGTCTTTCGTTCCGATCGGTAAACGATGACCTTGCAGTCACTCGGCTGAGAGTCAGAGAAAAGAGGACCTTGGAGTTCTCAGATTGTTTTTTATTCTGCTCGCCAATGTTTTCTATTACATAATTGTTAGAGGAGGTGCAGCTGCCAGTTTACTCCCTATAAAAGTCTATAGGAAACACATTCTGCATGTTGTTAAAGGTCAATATGTTGGTCTGTATTAGAACATGTTTTTCTATTTTGTCTAACATGAGTATGACAGCTTTTGTGTAAGTTTATTCTTTATTAAATTTGTATTATGTGCTTGTGGCATACATACACAAACTTATACTGCCAACTGAAACTCTTAATACACAAAATAGTATATAAAATAATTATTTTGCCAACTGTCCCTTATTTATTGCAGGTATTGCGTGTATTATTGTGTCTCTTGGACATTTTACTTTGCCTATGTCTTATTGCTTAATGCTGCTCTGGAAGAAATAGTCAAGTTGAGGAAAAAAAGCTGTTCCCTAAACTGTCTGACAGATAGGCTTTGGTGTTAATTGTATGCCGTTTTTGCTGGCTATTAATAAATGTGACAAAACCTGAAAATAACTTATACATTCTGTGCAGTTTTTTGAACTCAACATGAAAAATGCAGCGATCTACGACCATAACAATACTTTTTCAGCTTTTTTTTTCCCATTTGAACTGATGAGCTAGTTTATTGAATTCATATTTAACTACGTACACTTAAATGTGTGATTTAAATGTAGCTGAACCACTTGTTATCACATGGTTTCCTTGAGAGTCTGAGGGTTAAGATACGGGCACTTTCTGCTATTCTTCTATGCTAAGCTTGTTAGCTTTATGCTCCCTAATCTCTCCATTGAGATTACTAAAATGTTGCCACACCAAAATTGATTTTTCAATCCCAGGAAACGGGTGAAGTGACTAGCTTCAGCTAAATATCTCATCAGCTAGCTTGTATAGTTCTTGTTAAGTTTTTATGCGGTTTTTCCTCTCAAAATTACACATTTTATTGTCTTATCATCTGTATGGTATGGTAAAATGCAAACATGTAGTTGTGTTTTGGGTTTGTGTGACAGCTGATCTCTACAAAACAAGGTTAAAAACAGTATTGCTCATGTGTGTTCTGCTGTTTCACACAGCTTTGCATCGCTACACCAAAAAGTATTATTGTATTATTGCATCAATGTTTTCTCTGTGTGATTAGTGCGCTATTTTTAACATGCTTGCTTTTGTTTCTATTGTTGTCTTTAGCATCTTACTTTGTATTTCTGAACCTGTTCATTGGTTAGAAGACCACTTGGCCAAAAGCATGCAACTGAAAATGTGCCTAGTGATTAACGCTGGCAAAAAGAAATATTGATTAATGTCTGTTTTCTTTATGAATAAAGAAAATTAAAATGAAATATACTAACTATATGTCATGCGTAAATTGTCTAGTTGTGACTCCCATTTTGAAATTGGTTTGCGAAACAATTTCAGTCTGTGTTTGTCATCTATGTGTAACGAAGGCCGACTGGTTCACTGATGTCATTTGTTCTTGTCAGAGCCATTGTGGACTCTGTTGTGGTCAGCTGTCTTCACTGAAGCACTAACACCCGTCAGCGACATAATTGGTGTGGAGAGAGCACGTAACGACTATGCATTTGTAGTGAGGAGATGTTCAGTCCTCATAAACAGGAGGCAGGAGAGTAGAGATATGACGAGGAGGGAAGGAAGTGGAATAAAGCCCAAAAAGGTGATATCAGGGTTTTTTATATGATGTATATATTTGCAGAGTGACAGAGTTGGCAGAGGGGTGGCTCTACAGTGTGTGTGTGTGTGTGTGTGTGTGTGTGTGTGTGTGTGTGATATTGTGAAAACATGTGTGGCATTAGTTGTTTGCATGAAGGAGTAGTCATCATGCCTCTCTGGAGGCGCATGCATTATATTACCATGTTAATGCACTCATGCATGTATGTGCCATGGCATCAATTTAATGGGACTAGAACATACATGAGGGTGTGGGTGTGTGTGTGTGTGTGTGTGTGTGTGTGTGTGTGTGTGTGTGTGTGTAAGAGACAGAAAAAGAGAGAGAGGAGGGAGCTGGAGAGGGGGCATGAGATAAGAGAGAGACAGGAAGAACACCACTGAACAAAGACATCAAGCAATTTTTGAAGATATCACAAAAAAAGCAGCAGTAAGTCTATTCAACAGCCTGTGCTGCATGACAGCTTCTTGGCTCCTCTTTTGATAGACGGAGAGAGACGGAGAGAGTTTCAGAGAGTGTGGACTCTAAACTGAAAGAGAGGACAGAAGTCAGATAAAAAGAGACAGAGACATGGAGAGAACACCAATTTTATCCCTTCAATAGACGCAAGGGGTGAAATAGCACGTTTCCCCTTGTCTTTCACTGACTCAAGAACAATTAGCTTAATTATATGGAGGAACTGAGACTGAAGAGTCTGTGTATGTTCGAGAGAGAGAGAGAGATTTAGACACAGTGTAGTTTGGATTTAACCTGGACAGAAAGATGGAGAAATGTAATTAGATGTCTTTTATACCCGCAAAAATAATACAAAGCCTGCATGAGAGATGCTGCCTGTGTGTGTACTTCACCATCACTCACATTATGTGGGTACTCAGGAGGTGATTAACTTTGCTAAAGACTGGAAGCTGTGAGAGACAGCTAGTCTGGCTCTGTCCAAAATTGTTTTCTGTATCCGTACATCTGTACAAGACAAATGTAAAATGCCTGAACGGCTGTTGACTGCCCAACTGTTAGACAAGGATGTCAATATTGGATAGTTGAGAATGTTATTAAATGCCAATGTTTTAACATTCTTGCTTTCTACAAAATGTTCGCATGGCAACTGCTGTATGGATAAGGTCAGGGAAAGATCCCTGTCAAGGCAAACATGCTATGGTTTACGTAAGGTTAACGTTGGACAACTAAATCACTTTCAAGGGTGGAGGAAGATTGCGGTTACTTAAAAAGGTAAACATTAACTTAAATGTGCGGCGCATGCAGGTTGGTCCAATATGGACGTAATTCCTAAGAATATTTAATTGAAGTGGGATGGACCTATTTCTTGATCATCCACTCAGCCTTTTTTCAGCATCTCCAGCCGGTAAGCGCAGGCTCAGGCCTCAATACACAATGGCACCAAAACTGGCAGCTTTGTTGTGACAACATGTTGCTATTTACCAAGTAATACATCTATCTCACAACTGGCCCTAAAATATCGGGAAATTTATGTTTTCTAAATATTTTTAGGACAATATATAGGTTTAATCCTGCATTCATGCAAACCTGGTAAAATGGTTAGAACAGGAAAACTTCCCTGACTTGGGAGTGTTCACGCATTATTCCAAGATGGTTATTACTGCCAGCCTCCTAAGTGGCAAAAACAAGTGTGTGTGTGTGTGTGTGTGTGTGTGTGTGTGTGTGTGTGTGTGTGTGTGTGTGTGTGTGTGTGTGTGTGTGTATGTGTGTAGGGTGATTGTGTGGGGATGCAGGAGGGAGTGAGACGAAACAGTCACATGCACAACAGAATGTCAAGTAATAGCTCCCCACTGTCTCTCTCTCTCTCCTCTTGACTCCCTCCATCCTCCTCCTCCTCCTCCTCCTCCTCCTCTTCCTCCTGCAGCATGCCGCTGTCCTCTCCCCCTCTGCGCCTCATTTTATATCAACTTGAACTATTCATGCATTTAATTTCTAATGATACACGTAGAGCTCACTCTCTCCCTTTCTCTCCCCCCTCCTCTTTCCCTCTCTAGTTTCTGCTCCTCTCTTCACCACCTGTTAGTTAGTCTCCCTCTCCTCTCCGCGCTGGAATCCCCTCTTTTTTATGAGGAGTTTCACACTTGCGCCATCAGTGAGGTAAGTCAACGTTTTGATTATTTTATTCCTAAATGCAGACCGGTTGAATCCGTTTTGTTTCCCACCTTTATGTTTCTTAAAAAAAATAATGTTTTCTTTCCTTCTCCCTCACACACTATCGCAATCATTATATCCTTGCTTTACATGTCTGTTTGTTTATTTATGTATTTTCTTGTTGACTATGCATGAGAGAATTAAAGCTGTAAAGATCAGATTGGCACATTTATTTATCGTTCTCTCACAGCAGACAGGTGCAACATGTGGCAGTCTGTTTTTGTGTTTTTACCTGCTCCTTCACACCTTCCAACACACACTGTCACCCACAGGCGTTGAAGTTTACTCATCCCTAACGGCCTGAAAATAACTTGGCTCTAATTGACAAGTGCTCACTGTCCCTGTGGTTAGCTATAACTGATGTGCTGTCTGTCGAGCTCTAATGAGTAGCTACAGTGTGCCATCCCATCTGCCTTTCAGCCAGCAGCTTGTTATTTAAAGGTGAACGGTGCCTGCTGCAGGGGGCCATTGTCTGTAGGACAGAAGAGAAGAAGAAGAAAACCAGCCAAGAGAGAGGGGGAGAAAGAGCCTCACATACCTACAGGTGGACTAAGTGGTCTCAGAAAGTCTGACGGTGAGATAATGACAGAGATATAGAGGGGAGAAGAAGAGAAAAGGTGGATTATGGAGGTGGAGATGAGACAGTAGAGGATGGGGGTTGAGGGAGAGAGCGTCCATGCCTGTGACATGACTCTAATTTAAAGTGAAGGAGCTAAAAGAGGAGGGGGGGAGGTCGCATGTTGCACAAAGATATTCCTGACTGCCGGCTTCCAGCTTTATTCCTCCTTCTCTAGAAGCTGGAAACAACATCCCTATATATATATATATATATATATATATATATGTGTGTGCAAGGGAGCCATGAGGGAGATACTATACTGTATGTGGTTGCATAACTAGCAGCCACTGGGCTACTGTGTGTAGCTAACAAGTTGGGCCATTATTTTATTGTAGCTTATAGGAATTATGTAAAATAGGGAAACCAGTGTGTGCTCGGAGGCTAAGAGTCGTGTATGTAAACGAGCTTTAGCACATACAAGCCTGCGAAGTGTGAGGTGAAATCTGTACCTTATATTTGAGTGTGAGAGTTTCTCAGCAACAAGATGATGATGAAAGGAGAGGATGAGAGAGAAATTCCAGCTGGCAGCATGAGAGCGATCAATCATGAGCTCCCCGTAAGCTCCTGCTTCCCCGCGAGCGGCAAACCACCAGGCCTCCCGGCTGTGCGGGTGCTGCTGGTGGTGGTGCTGGTGCTTGGGCAGCTACAGTTTATGGCCACATCTGCCAGGACTGGAAGACGACTGACTGCGCACATTATATCAACAGACACTCGCTCACAAGCCTACAAAACATCTGCATAGAGAAAGATAGTGCGTGTGTGTGTGTGTGTGTGTATGGAGAGATGATTTAATGATCTGACAGAAGTGTATCCACGGATGTTTAATGGCATGCCTTTGTGAATGTATGTGTGTGTATGTGTGTGTGGGATTACAGAGTATATTATTCATGAGAACAATCATTATCTACTGATCCAAATTAATTCATCTTTCAATCAATTCTGGACATAACCATTATCAACACAGGCAGTTTCATTCCCTTCTCCCTCTTCTTAATGCTGTGTAATCTTCTGCTTACTTTAAGATTATTTGGTTGTTTTGTTGTTGCTCCAGACTGAAATGGTTTACTGTTGCTGGTTTATCTGACAAACTGTGGTTGTAACGAGAATGCAGCGTTCTGTCCTGAAGTACAGGAGTCTGACGTTATCTCCGCGCCGCTTAATTCAGCAGGGATGAACTCTGGCCGGTTGTTCGGCGCTTCAGAAGTCATCAATTCTCCTATTGTGGTCCTTAGTGGCACCAAAATGGCTGCTGTTGATTTTCAAAAGGAAAGATGTCCATCATGCAGCACTCCAGAGGCAGTGGTCTGTCAAAGTCGGAAGTTTGCATGCTGGCACACTGCGGCGTGTTTCAGAAGTTTGTTTCATCCCCGGCCAAGAAAAAGCTGGATGAGCAGTGGTGTTTATTACCCACTGTTGTGCTCACAGCAGAGACACCGGACCAAACATGACAAATGACCCTCCCTGCCTGTAATTCTGCTGAAGGTCAACAGTCAGAGGCAAGAATATCAGAACCTCTCACTGCAAGGGCGCCATTGGTCATATTGACTTTATCTTCACGACTGAAGGGTCTAGAATTAATCTGTTTACTGGTTTTGACCCCACAAACAGAAGTAACGGGATAATGAGGAATATTTACAGTTCTGACAACCCTTATGCAGATGAGGAGGAGATTAAGTAAAACCTGCGTTAATAATAAAGTAGTTTGACGTATTGAGATGCTTAATACCACTCTCATGTCTGTATAATAAATATGAAGCTACAGCCAGCAGTTGGTTAGCTTAGCTTAGCATGAAGACAGGAAACATCTAGCTTGGGTCTGTCCAAAGGGAATAACATCCACCAACCAACATTTCTCAATCGCACTAATTCAAATGGGGGTTAATTAGCTGTCTCTCTGTACAGATATGAGGCTTATCATCAATCTTCTCATCTAACTCTCTGCAAGAGAGCGAATAAGTGTATGTTGAACTATTGATATGGATGCAGGTTTGACAGACATCTCCTGCTCTTTCCTTATTCCTTATTTTCTACTTACTTCTGTTTGTGGCATTCATTTCAGTCACCAGAATTAGGTCAACATGACCACTAACTTCCAAATTATTTCTTTATTAGTCCCTCTCTGTGTCCTGAGATTCTCCTCATTTTGAGGTTTCGTTTCTCAACTTCACAGACAATCTACTCATAGCGAGCTACACTACCAGATTCTCACCCTGATTTTCCAATCTCAAAGGGATTTTGGGGATCGGCAACAAATACCCCGGATCAGAGGCAAATCTGCGCCTGCTCCTATGAGCTTTGTGTGAATTTTCAAAGCCACAATCTGGACAATGCGCTGATGCGTTGCAGACGCTGGAGAGATATTAAATATCTGGACCGATCTGAGAGTCCAAATCGTGTAGTGGGAAAATCGTTTTTTTATGGTCAATGAGAGAAGCAATGACCTAAAGTCAACGAGAGCGTAACATACAGGGCGAAGAATTATCATGGGGAGTAGTCATAATGCCTACAACAGAACATCAGCAAGCATGGCTATGAGCACATACTTTCTATCAGAATAAATTTGCAAGCAAGCTTTTTAATTATTTGAAAGAAAAACAAAGCACAAACATGTCGTTGTCGAGCTACAACACAAACAGGCAGCTACCTGCGTTCATTGCAAAATGACTACTTGAATTACTCTCTTTGCAGAACAAACAATTCATTATTTTCCTTCCTTGGTTTTCCTTCCTTGGATCAGCGCACAAACAACTTTGATCGCTAGCTTCATGATGACTGCCATATTTGAAGGAAGAAACGTCTGTCTCGTACATGTTCTTACTTCTCTTGTTTTGCTGACTAAACATAGTTTTGAGAACAGAGACTTCTGTCAGTGAAATGTCCTGTAATGTGGGACCCCAGCTGTCATTGATCACTCGTGTAATGTGCAAACCACAACAAATCAAGAGACCCTGTTAGAAGACAGACAGTAGTGCAATGAGACCAGTACAGCAGTGTCATGTAGTGTGTAGGTGCCGTTACAGACAACTCGGAGGAAGTGCAAATACATAGAGTGCAAATACTGACTTCTCAGTTTAAATCGATTAATGCAGAGAGAGCAGAAGGGGGAGGGGGGGTTGTTCAGTATTGAGGACAGAACGCCCCCTCAGGGCCTGCTGTCTTTAGAAAACGAAAGCTGTGAGATATTTGCAATCCACCCCCCTCTTTTTATTTCAGGAAGAGAGCAGACACATCAGCCTTGTGGTCAACTCCACTCCCTGCTGCCACAACTTTATATAATCACCAGGACTCTTCCCTCCATCCGAGTATACTGAAGAGTGCTCCAGCCTGTAAAGACTTCATCCTGTAATTACCTGCCTGTCTGTAGAAGATTGTTAAGCACTTAGGAAAACGTGTGTCGGAGCGGCTCACGCACACACTCGCACGGTCATTTCATTGAGGATGATTAGGATTCAGGGGAGACCCTTATTGTCCGTTATTCATTATCCTCCACTGATAGGCTTGAGATTATTCAGATGTATTCAATTGAAATGCAAATGTGTACACATCCTCTGCCGTATTTTGTCATCTTATGAGTATTGTCTTTCTTTTTAAGAGATCTAATTATGTTGGAAGAGGTTTCAGTGCAAGAGCAGTTTGAGATAAACGCTTCCTATCAGAAGAACTTCTTCTTGGCAAATGAAAAACTCCTATTAGATGTGATTACATCTCAGTGATGGCCAGACACAGGATGTTATTCATCACCAACCATCGAATAGCAGAAGTGAAATTAAGAACAGCTCATGTTTGCAGATCGATGGCTTGGCGCTTGCTTCGGACGCATTTGGAAATTCCAGTTATTGTATTGCTGAAAAGTGTGATTCAACTCTTCCTGAATCTATCCGTCTCTTCCCCTGTAGCGCTATGACTGTGCGAAAAGGAAAACGTTTCGCCATCTCCATCCAGGAGCACATGGCCATCGACGTATGCCCCGGCCCAATCCGCCCCATCCGCCAAATCTCTGCCTACTTCCCTCGCCTGTCGCCCACTTCCTCCTTCTCCGATCCACTTTCGCCCAATCAGGTGGCAGCTCCCACCGCCCTCAGCCCTGGCGCCGCCGGAGGAGGAGGGAGCAGCAACCTATTGTCACCGCTGTTACCAGGGGCGGCGGGCGGAGGGGGCTCACTGTCAGCAATGAGCAGCATGGACACCTCCATTGAGATCGACAGCTGTGACAGCGATGATAACAGTGAGTGACCTGAAAGTCACACCGTGGTTTCACTAAAGCTGCTTGAGCCCAAGAATAGAAATGAACTCAACACAGAAGTGGATTTGGGACAAAAAGCCGAGAGTAATTTTAAAAAAAATCTAAATTGACCCTTCGCTAAAGTTCCTACGCCTTTCAAGCTTTCAATTCTCACACAGCAACATATGCTGTTTTCAGTGATGACACATTTACATCCACATTCTTCGTTTTTTGAAACAATGCGTCTTTGATTTTATAAGAGACAACTAAAGCAGAGACTTTGAGAGTTTATCAACTGCAGCTAGCAGACTTCACTTATTGAGTTGTTTCAACACACTGTGTCCAGCTGATTGTAATTGATTCTATTCCATTTGTTGTAAAAGGAGAACCATGTAAAAGTAGTCTTTAAAGAATAGGTCGACATTTCGCGAATCACACTCAGTTTTCTTCGAGAGTTAGTCGATCTTGTCCTTTCACTCTCAGCAAGAGAGTGACAGAGTGCGCTTTGCAGGTGGAAAACACTTCCATTTTGTTGGAGATCAGACTGAGCCTTTTTTGCAGTTTGCCATTTTTATTATTGTTGTTAGGCAACAACAAATTGATGAAAAAAACTTTCCAAAATGCACAAATGTACCTCCAGGCTGTGTCACCACAAAGAGAAAAGACGCAAATGACGGAGATCGTTTTCCATTCTGACTTTTTTTTCCAACTCCAGGCATTCAGGGCGCCAAAATGCACTGAGCGGAAAGATGCAAGGTGCTCAGCAACGTAAAAACAGCTTGCAAAACACTCATTGAAAACAATTACAAAAGGCCGCCTCAGGCTGCTTAAACGCTCTCTGTCTTATCAGGACCTAAAGTCTTTTTGCAGAATGTTTTAATGTGATTTCATGAGTGTCTTTCTGAGTGTCTGCATTTCTTCCTGCCATCATTTTCTATACAAGGTAATAAAGTCATGGGCTGAAAAGCAATTACCAAAGTAACTGAACTATTTCAATCAACTGTCTTCCAGCCGCCTTGGGGACGTTAGAGTTTGACCTACTGTATGAGAGAGCCACCAGCTCCTTACACTGCACAGTCCTGAGAGCAAAGGTAAACAACATGTCCTCTGAAAATTCCATGAGAGCAAACACAGGTAGTTTGTCTCATAGCGAAAGAAATATTTACATTTGTATCAGCCACATTCGTGTGTTCAATCGGTGACACAAAAAAGCTGTTCAGTCCTTTGCTGTTCAGACCAAAACAACATCTTGGTTGACTGAAACTCTACCTATTCTTCAACCAGTAGATTGTTCAATTGATTATATTAACTTCATTTCAACCTAACTATACTTAAATGATAACAACAAACTCAAAGCTGACAGTATGCAACTGAGAAATTAAAGGTCTAAAGTTACACAGACTGCAGGTCATTGTATTACATCTACTTATAGGAGTGTATACCGGTATTGACGATACAGTGATATTTAAAAAATGAAATATTGATATGTTAATAATACCCATATGATAATATCTTGTTACAGACTCTCTCTACCTCCCTACACTTGTATTTTGAGTTTAATTAATTTGCCAAAACGCACAATAAACAATGTTAAAGATGAATTTGACATTTTTACTTTTTTCAAAAGTTCTATAAAAATCGTTATTTTGAATTATTTTCACCACAAAAATCCTGTATTTGAAATCTGTTATCGTGACAGCCCTCTCTTCTAATTAGTGTGTAGCAGAGGATTTCAGTTTTCATCCTTAATTTTTAGATGGTTTTCAAAATGGGCAGTGGGCTACAGCCTCTACACTGTGTGGCTCACTGGTCAACTGAAACTATTCGTCAAATTAAAACTCTCCGACCTCCTCGCTACCGCCGTGCTTTGGATTCAGTTTTCAAATGAACTCCTCACCTCTCAGTCTGGTAATTGTTGCATAATGTATTACTGGTGTTGGCAGCTTGCACAATGTTCTCCACCTATTATTTTATATCCCCTCCCTTATATCTTCTCTCTGTCTTTTTTAGGGTCTGAAACCGATGGATTTCAACGGTTTGGCTGATCCTTATGTCAAGCTGCACCTGCTGCCGGGAGCCTGCAAGGTCTGCTGTTATTATCAGGACTGGGTTTTGTCCCTGCATTTCTTCAACAATTGAAAAAGACTCTCAGTAACTTGTCTGAGTGCACACTTAGTCTAACTATCATTTTGAGCTGTGTTGTAAAAGTGCAAGTGCAGACCAGTAAATCAGCTGTAAAACAAAATGACCTCGTATCCTGTAAGAACTTCCTGTTGCACGTTGTTTGCCGTTGTTTGCCATCTGCAGTTCTGAGATGATTGTTTCCCCCTCCTCTCTACTGTGATGCACAGGCCAATAAACTGAAAACCAAGACCGTTCGCAACACGCTGAACCCTGTGTGGAACGAGACGCTCACCTACTGTGGAATCACAGAGGAAGACATGTACCGCAAAACACTCCGGTAAATGTTTGCTTAATGTCTATTTCTGTCTCCTTCACGTCCTGCCTCTCGGCCCCATCTTGCCCATCAGAGGACTGACTCTGGCTTACAAAGGATTTCTTATCATCCATCTCAATCACAGTCTTTTACTCTCGGTTTTTAGGCCTTTATCCTACCTCCCCTTCTATTTCCATTGATCCCTTTCATCCCCCTCTGTCACCTCACCTTCTTCATTCCTCCCCATCTGCACATCTCTCCTGTCCACTCAGATCAGAAAAGATCTCCCCTCACTCCTTACAAACCATCCCTCTCTCTTTGTCTCTCTTTCCGTCCGTCTCCCTGCTTTTCTCTCTTTCCAAGTTGCAGTGACAGATTGAGGTCAGACTAAGCACCACGGGGTGTTTTAATTTCATTGACCCCCGCCAGAGGTGATGAAAGCTGCAAATTGTCTCCGTCTGTGACTAAAACTTTGTCATGGCGCATGTGGGAGTGAGATTTAAATAGGATCGACGATTGATCTCTCGGGGGAAATTAGAGAAACTGGCCCTACAACAGGCCTACGACACTCAGCAGAGGCCTTCAAAGATCAGCAGACAGGAAGTTTAACGTATTGAAACATGTTAACGTCTACAAAGTAACAGTTTCATCACTTTCTTACATCCACATATATCTGACAGTCAAAACAGTTGACACACTAAAAGTTTAATAAACAGCGGCTGCAGCTATTTTTGCATTTTTTTCCTCCATTTTTTTGTTTCCTTTCTTATCATAGAGTAGTAGCAAAAAGCTACGCCTCTTCCAGTAGGTTAAACAGGAGGATTTTCTGCAGACTTGCAATTTCTTACTGAATTTCAACACTTCTAATACAGGAAGAAATCCATCCCAGAAAAAGCTCTATTGTTGTTTCTGCATCCAACTTTGAACCAGCAGCTACAACAAACCGCAGCGTCAGACAGATCAGAAGTAGTTTCAGAAAGTACAATTTTCATATAGATGCAATTGTGGATTATATTGCCTTATGATGAGATGAAGTCATGATTTACAATCCTTTTGATATCTTTTAACATAATTCACAACTGTCTGAAGGCTATGGGCCAACAAGATGTTGCACAATAAGGACAAGAGTCTGTGGAAGTTTATTCCTGTCAACAACAAATTAATAAAAGCAATGAGTGATAAAAAAAATACTCATGTTTAGTTGTTTTGTTATACTTTTCTGCTAGGAAACAAATAAGTTAGCTGTGATAAAAATGAGTAGGGAGAAGGAAGACACTTTTTGCTAGTATTGTTACTGGGTTATATCAGAGTACCAATACCCTGATCTAATAGTCATACTCATGATTATAGCAAGTTATTTTTTTCTCTTACTAACTCAAAACAATAAGTCCAAAATATCAAAAAGTAATTTTGATTTATTGTCTAATTATTTAGAGTTAGTAAGACTACAGTTTGACTCATCGCGAGTATTTCAACTTTTATCATGTCTAACTTTTAAGAGTCAACTTTAAAAGTGTCATAATTTATTCATGATGACACTTAAGTTACATGTCTGTCATGGACATTAAAGTTGTAAATGTGTTGATTAGATTCATCACCCTGCCCCATAACATCATTATATATATGTTTGCTGTAGTAATGTGAGCGGTCATAGTAAAAGCTAAATGTGTATGTAACCTGCTGCTAGCTTTCACCTCTCAGCTAAGACCGTCTTCATCTCTCTTTATTATTTTTTGCCACCAACCCCAGACGTTTCTCTCTTTTTCTTTCCCCCCCATTTTCATTTGTCCTTATTCTTGCTGCCATCTGATTCTTAAGGGCTCAGAAACTACTAGACTCTGTGGATGTCAGAAAATATCTGGTGTCCCAAGGCAACTGGCCTCTTGCACCTTCTTGATTTATGCATTACCGTTTTTTTATTACCGGAACCTGAAGGCAGCAGGTGACTGCAATGTTTAGTTAGAAGTTGAATAAAACCGAGAGCAAAGAGGTTACAAGTTCATATCAGCCCTTCTCTGCAAGATTGCATTCTTAGTTTTCTTCCTCTCATTGCATGTCTTTGATTCATTTACATAAAGCACAGAAAATGGATGAATGTCAGTTAGCCTAGCATAGTGATTTTCCACTTCTGCCTACAGTATAGACATGCACAGGCATAAACACAGATTTAAATAAATTCCTTCCATTTGTATCTCTCTCCCTCTCTCACCCACATCGCTCCATCCCTGGCTCTGCTTTTTATTTCACATACGCACACAGCCTCCCTCCATCTCTTTCATTCTCTCTGCTGCTCTCACCCAATTATGCATTTCAGGTGACAATATGGCAGGTGTAAATATTTGCCAGCCTGATGAATATGAATTGACTTAATGCACTTTTACACTATCCAATTTCACACGTGAGGGAAAATGGTAATTACTTGTATTGTACAATGTGCTTTTACTGATTCTGGATTTATATGTGTAGATCAGAGCTATGTCAACAAGTACCTTCGCTCATAATGTTGCCACAGCATTGGGAATAACTAATTCCACTACTCTTTCTCACACCCGCACATCTCTGTCTCAATAATCAGCGTCTCTAAATCGTATTCATGATACCCCACCACCCTATCTTTGTCTCTCGCTATTTCTCTTCCTGACCCCCCCCTCCTTCCTCTGTCTCTCACTCCCAGGGTGTCTGTGTGCGACGAAGACAAGCTGACACATAACGAGTTCATCGGGGAGTCGCGGGTGGCCCTGCGTCGTGTGAAGCTTGACCAGACTAAACACTTCAACATCTGTCTGGAGCATCCACCCCCTGTGAGAAGAAGAGGGAGGGCTGAAAGAATAAATGGGATGATAGGAAAGAAATACTTAAAGGAAGGAACGAGGGAAATTAGAGTGTATGAGGGAGATAAATGACTTGATGGTACTGTAATATTCAATATATTAAGCTTCCTGTCTGACTCATAACCTCACATTTTAAAGGAGAAAAAAGACAGGGGGATGGAAATATAGTGAAGACGGAAGGCAAGAAATTCTTTTCCAACAGGGAGGCGTTTAAAGGTCGATATTTGGTAGACCGATGAGGCGCACACACACCTGTGTCTCATAATAAATAAAATACCAAGCGTGCCTGTACAATCTCTGTAGCATCGTTAGCAAAAGAGCCAAACAAACGCTTCCTAAATGCTGTACTGTTATTTGACAGTAAACACCAAATAAATAGACTAATTCTCCTGCTACATAAACCTAAACAATCTTAAATATTTAAAGCAAAGATTGCTTGTGTGTTTATTAGTGTTGTAAGAAAGGAATATACCGATGCAGATTAATGCACCATGGGCATTAATCTGCTGCCATAACATGGAGGGATTTGTTCACATTCAGCCACTACATAAGGTCATTCAGATCATCCAAAAGGTGTTGGATGATGCTGAGGTCAGGGCTCTGTGCAGGCCAGTATTTACCTGGCTTTGTGCACAAACGCTTGACTAAAATATCATTGGATGATGTGAAGCATAGAGATTTCTCTTCATTGGAACTAAAAGGACCTTAAGCAAGAAAAACTGTCTAAAACTACCCAAAGTACGGTATCCATATTCTTTTGGCCAAAGTATATTTTGCATTAAGCCAATACCAGCTGGCCTACTGAGAATAACAAATATGAGGTAAACACAGGACAGAGTATCATGTCTATTCTTATAGCTCACAAACTGCTTTTTGTGCAGGCTAAATGTCAGCTGGGTCATGCGTGGGAAAAGGGTACGTAGAGATTGGGAGAATAAAGGGAGAGGGGGGAGAGGGGGAGAGGGGGAGCGTAAATGGACAGAGAGCACAAGTGAGAGAGATGAGAAACAAATGGATTAAAAAAAATAAAAGCAGTGGAGAGCGGGGGGGCATGTGTGTGTGAAAAGGCTGGCTGTTTGTTCTCGATGAGTTAGAAAGGGCTGCTGGTATTAGATTGTCCCTCTGAGGCCGGTGGCCACTCTGTGATCAAACGTTAAAGCCCCTCTGTCATCCTGCGAACCAGGTGCTGTGTCACGCATGTCATTTTCAAAGTGGCATCACCCTCAACTTGATGCGTCTATCCCTTTCTGTTCATCCGATGCCCCTTTAGCCTGCTTGTACAGCTTTTCTGCCAGTCATATCCCCTTATCATGTATCTCTTTCTCGCCTTTTTGCCTCCAGCTGCCTTCACCGACTGCGATGAGCACAGCATTGAGAGGAATCTCCTGCTACCTGAGAGAGGTGACCACATGACTCCTCTTATTTTGCTCAACGTGACCCGTCTGTCTGTCCTTTACAGTCCATCTGTCATCCTCTCTTAAAGGACTACACCGAAACCAATATGAGACTAAATGACTCGTGTGACTAAAAGCATTATCCTAAAAGTATGAGAATAAACCAGGTAATATTTCAAGGTGGCGATCAGTTTTTATTCTATTACCTTGATATCCGCCTGGAAACAAAATATCCGTCTTCATTTAAGAATTATCAAAGCAAAAAGTTTAGCTATTTATATTTTTAAAAAGTGCTGAAACTAATAATTAATTGATCAGTTAATTAGCAAAGTCAATCGATTCTAGCCTGAGGTTTTGCTGCTGTGTTTTGTTTTATTGACGACACCGTGGACATTTTTCACTATTTTCCGACATTTTATAAACTAAATAGAAAATGTAATGTAGTTTAATTATACCAATAACTGTGGGTTTATATTAGTGCCATTAAAGTTAAAGCATTTACCACAACTTGAGATCACAGCTAACCATTCTAAAACCAGTCATATATTGTTCTGCTGTGAATAGAGATGTCCTGCCTTAAGACATGATCATGTAATCTAATAAGGCAGCATTAATATAGTGTTGTGAGGTAATTACCTAACCCTAATTACAGAGCAGTTATAAGTTCTTACTTTCTCCGTTTTTTAGAGCCTCTCATCACATATTGGGTAAATTAACGAAGGGACCAAACCAAAGGACCGGTGTAGTCCTTTAACTACAAGAAGATAACTGGAGTAAAACTGCTGCTTCTGTGTTTCTCTCCACAGTCAAGGTTGTTAAATGCGATCGTCTTTCCAGTTCTCTTACCCATCTGTCTGTCACAGTGTGCGGCTGGCTCCTGTTTATTTTCACCTCCCTAATGAGTTGCTCTCTATCGATCTGTGAAGGTCTGAGCTGTTCTTTCACCAGATACCTGGTACAAATTATCCTCACTAATTGCAAGTTTTAGAGTCTCTCAGTCGCGGCAGATGGCAGACTGGCTGTTAGCAGGATGGATGATTCCCCAAGAAAAACACAGATAAGGAGACGGGGGAAAACAACATAGGAAAGAGAGATGTAGGGGAAACAAGAAGGGGGCAAGCTGTTGAGACAATTAGAGAAAGGGAGGGAGGAGCATGGAGGAGTGTGAGGCGTGTGGCATATTGATCGACCTGGCTGTGTCCACCTCTCGCCTGGAGATAAGACTAAATGAGAGATGGAAAGAGATACAGGAGAGGAGAGATATTTAGTGATGGAACCCATTTTATATTAAAATCGCTTAACAGGCAATGTAACAGAGCATTTTTGCATCTTCAGTGGTGAAACAGAAAAGCTCCACCTGCAGTGATAAAATAAAAACTGCATGTCTTTCCTATAAATAACACACATGTGTTGGTGCTGTTGGCCATGAGTGTGAGTCACAGCCTTGTGAGAACATCTTCCCTTCTTCACCCTCTGTTGCTGCTTCCTCGCTTTCTTTCATCCGTCACTTTGAATCTACTCTGTTGTTCCGCTTGTTGTTAAATGCTTCGCTAACCGTTTGATGTTGTCCGTGGAAAATACTCGAGCCAGGAGCGACAAAGTGCATTGATATGTCTCCAAGGCTGGTGCTTCAGTCTGTCCGAGACAGGTCTTTGCACTGCTGTTTATTACTTGATGGTTGAGTTTGTCGCTGAGCTGTGAGAGATGAACTGAAATGTTAAGATCAAAGTCACTGCGCTCTTAAGGTTGCAGGGAAAGAAGAGCGATGACCTACATAACAGCGAGGGCTACAAAGTACATTTTAAGAGTTTAAGTTTTGAAAGAAAAAATTACACATTTTTCTTCCACCCAAATGAAAAGGTTGAATTCATAAACAATATAACTCACATTGCTCAGTTTAATGAACTCAGGGGTTTTCAGCTACAGCCTTACTTGGTATTTAACTGATGGAATAAGACAAAAAGATGACTTTAAATCGATTTGTTTTGCGTCTCAAATTTGGCAGGAACAGATCGAGTCTGGTTGAGTCGGCTGGAATCATGTTTAAGACCCGCACTGAACTCTACGACTGTTTTAGCAATTTATCTCACCTGTAGCTGCTGCTCAACAAAAGTTACATAAGCTGACTTTGATTTCTGCTGTGCTGATGCAAGAAGATCTGCACTGTACTGCCACGGTTTATTTTCACTGCAGCTTTAAAGAGGCATCAATTGATTTATTTTTTTTGGGCCACACAAAACTGACATTATCACCTTATCGAGATGATAGTTCAAGCACGATTGCAAACAGCTGTGTGGCTTATTTACACATCTAACAGACACAGAGCAACACCAGCATACATCTTTGTCGTTTTTGAGTCAACAAGTCCAATATTCACTCTCCTTTTAGCAATATTTAGCTAACTCCTGAGGGAAATATCTGACTCGCCAACTGTTCGCTCCACTGTGTTCACCAGTTGCTATTTTGTCTGTCTGCTGTTTGGTGCTGAGCAGGTTGAGTTTTTTTCACTGAAAACAGCTGCCTTCAGCAAAACGGACACTAATGAGAGCTATGAGAGTGAACTAAAACTGTACAGTTGTGGGCTGTAAAACAAAAGCAATTAGCTGGAAATCACTAAAGGCACTGTATAGCAGAGGTGAACCGCAGGCCAGGGGATAATTCACTGAGCGTCTATCATGCTAAGAGACCCTTTTACATTACACGTAGTCATGTAATCCACTGGTGATGTAACAATATCGATCACAGCAGCTTTAAATAACTTGAATAACGTTGCAATTTGATCAGCAGTTCATGGCAAAAAACTCATATTTTTCTAAATAAGAGTCCTCCTTTTATCTCTGAAGCTTAAGTCACTAATGTAGCAGCTACAAATGCTTTAATATATATTTTTCTATTCCTCTCTCTTGTATCCCCTCTTTGTCTTCACAGTGGGAGACTGAGCAGCAGAGAAGTCTCGAGGAGAGAGGCCGTTTGCTGCTCTGCCTGCAGTACTTCCCCCCGGCCAGTGATGGCGATGTGAAGGGCGAGGCCAAGGAGAGGGCTCGTGGCGGGCTGTGCGTGGGTGTCAAACGCTGCGCCCACCTGGCAGCCATGGACGTCAACGGCTACTCAGACCCCTATGTTAAAACGTAAGGATGACATCAAACCACTAACTGAATGCTATGGTGTATTCCATTACATAAAATGGAGTAATGTTGCCACCCGAGTGATTAAATTATGATTACACAACTTAGACTGATGGATTGACATTTCACAATCCTCATTGCAGAACAATTTTCACATGACCTATCCAGCGGCAATCTCCCTCTCTACCGTATTACCGGTGTTTGGTCTTAACTGGCCGCTGACTCATATTGACCCCATGAATCACCTTTTGTCACCAGTCATGAGTGATAAATGGCTTGAGTTAACCCTGCCCAAGGTAACGGTGACAAATGACAGCAGCTTTCACACTTAGTGGAAGCCATTGTGAAATATATCACTCACCAAGATAATGGTAACAGTGCGTGTGTATTGACAGCGTTCAAAATGGATTGAAAGGCAGCGACATGATCTGTTAAGGGCGTACTGCATCACGAAGGAGAGTGTTATTGCTGTTGTCATAGAGGCTATTTGGAGATTAATTACTCATTCATGAAAGAAAGGCAAAACTGCGTTTGTGTGTGTGTGTGTGTGTGTGTGTGTGTGTGTGTGTGTGTGTGTGCGTGCGTGCGTAGAGGGCAGGAAGGTCCGGGTTGAATGATGCACCCTGACATAGTAAGTTGGATAAATGAGCTTATGTTTAACTGGTTGTTCTCCTGAGTGTTGGTTCTGGCTTTGAGCTTGTGTCTGGAATGAGTAAAACACTAAACAACCTGTCATCACACTCACACACACACACACACATATATATATGCTAGGCACGCTTGCCTCACTTTAGTATACACACCAATCACCTTCTCCTTTCCCGTCATGCCTTTAACTCTCCCTATGTCTTTACATCCACCAAACCTACGCATACATCCCTCACACATCCACATTTGTACACCATGCACCTTGTTTCATTTTGGATGCGTGCTCGCATCTTTGCCCTTTGGCGGGAGCTTTTCTCCCAGATGCTTTGTTGTGTCTGAGAGCGTGTGGGAACATACGCTCTCCGAGCTGTGGGTGGTGGGTGGAAAGCAAATGTGAATAGAGATTTGGCCACGCTCCTTCCAGCTGGCTTAAAAATATCCTGAGAATTTAATGACACCTTGCGAAGGGATGCTGAGCTTTTTCAATCTGTGCTGTGTTTGTTGGTGATAAGTCCTCGCACTCACATATGGTTAGTTTCACAAATAATATATTAAAGAGGTCGACATTTTGGGAAATATGCTCACTGGTATTCACTTTCCAGCTGAGAGTTAGATGAGATGATGAATACCACTATCATGTCTATACAGCAAGTTCAAAGCTACAGCTGGTTAGCTTAGCTTAGCACAAAGACTGGATTCGGAGGGTAACGGCTAGCATGGCTCTGTCCAAAGGTACCAAAATCCACCTTCCAACACTAAATATCCCTAATGAAAATCTCGCATTTAATTAAGCTGCGATTTATTTCTACAGAGCCAGGCTAGTTGTTTTCTCTGGTTTCCAGTCTTTGTGCTAAGCTAAGCTAATAGACAGCTGGCTGTAGCTTCATATTTACCAAGCAGACATGTCCCTCAGCAATTTGCACTTTGCAGCCTGTTTATACAGATAATCAATTAGCTTCGCCCCTTCCTCAGTGTAACCCTAGTAGAATTAACCAGAAAAAAGGACAACACTCAGACAATGCAATTAAATAACAGCACTGCTGGTGCAAAATAATAAAAATCCTTCAGGCTATTGAATCATTAATCATCATTAATCCTGACACAAATAAAATAACCCTACACCTCTGACAGAATCCACCAATCAATCACCAAGCAGACAACACAGAGATGTAAACTGTATAAACTCCACCACGGCTACAATCATACATGTCAAAGGAAAAAGAGTGCTGAAAGTTAATGACCAAACTCGTATATGATGGTATGACATTCCTCTCTCTCTCCCTCTCTCAGGTACCTCAAGCCAGACGTCCAGAAGAAATCCAAGCACAAAACAGCAGTGATAAAAAAGACTCTCAACCCGGAGTTTAATGAGGTAGACATCCATGTTTGTGTATGTGCATAACTGTGGGGGGGAAGAGCACATTTGGTTGAATGTAAAGAGCTAATTTATATTTTTACAGTCCTCAGAGACACTACACCGCATGCAAATTCTCCACAGCAGACAATTGCTGCATGCACATGCTTAGCTGTTGCCTTATTATTTTGTATTTTAGAGTTTATAGAGGAAGAGAAAGATGGTTGTTAGCTGTGATCTTCTGACCTTTGCTCTCACCCCTCCCCTCTCTGTTCTCACCCAGGAGTTCTTCTATGAAATTACATTCTCAGAGTTAGCCACCAAGACGCTGGAGGTCACAGTGTGGGACTACGACCTGGGAAAGTCCAATGACTTCATAGGTGACGTGATAGGCAGCTAATCATTTCCTGCTGTTGTATATTTGGATTACCGTTTGGCTACTCCATTAGCAGTCCAATAATGTACCCATGGCAGATGTTACCAAAGATATTCTAAGCTGCTCTCTATTCTCTGCAGCCGAGTGCAGCACTCTGTGTAATTTGCAGGGTTTAGTTGCCAAAGGGGTGTCAGTGACATTTAGGCTGAAAATGAGCTTTATACTATACTTGCTCCATACGAGTTGGAGTGAGTGATTACATTTACACCAGTGTCTCTATCTGACTTACAACATATAATAACTTTTCCACCTCTATTTTTTTTCCGGGATCTTTTAAAGTCTAGATTTTAGTTTCTTACAGTAGATAAATCAAAGTTTGGTATTTTTTCCATTTTTGTTTTTTTAACAAACTATCAAAAGACAAACCAATGTCTGTCTCTCAACAGTTTCAGATGTTGTTTTCCTCTTAAACAAATCCAGTTTGAAATCTGCCAGCTTTTCTTACATTATTTAAATGGATTTATATTTAAACCATATTTATTCATATCTCATATCATCGGCCTCGATTTATTTTTAAATTAAAATGTATTTCTGTCCGTCAGTAATGACAAAAAACTGTTTCTGCTAATAAAACATTAGGCCTACAGTAGAAAACAAAACAATAACACAAAGTAAAAGATTTTCAATAGACCAAAAAGGTGTTGAAGCTACAGCTAATTACGCCCACTCCAACCTATTTGACATCAAAAATAATAACATGCAATTGTGAATACATTTCTATATTTGTTTGTTTTTTAAACTTGCGGGCTGTTTGACACATTTTTAGTTCCTCACTACAACTGTTACTACAACATAAATCCACCCCTTGGAGTCAAATTCTCCCCGTTTGTTTATCAAACATGCACTTTCCTCTCGAATCACATTGACTTTCTTTTCTGTCTGCCCTGGTTAAGGCGGTGTGTCCTTGGGGTGTCACTCACAAGGGGAAACTCTGCAGCACTGGATAGACTGTCTGAAGAACAAGGGCCAGAAGGTGGAGCGCTGGCACACGCTGACCAACGAGCTGCCTGGATCCACGCTGCAGGAATGAACTGATCCTCTTCCACTGCACGGATACTGGAGAGACTGCCTGGCGAGAGACGTTTCATCGCATGCTCTGAGGATTGTCTGCATGTCTACAATGTCATAAATGAGATCATTATTCATAACAACATACCCAAAGGGGGGGGGGGTCACACTCAGAGATCAATACTATAATCTTGGATCTAAAAAGACCTAATGCCAATCTCGGAAACAGTCCTCACCGTAAAGCATAATCATATTCATAGGGATCCATGTCCCTTTCATGGATTCAATGTCAATCTAAATGCCTCTCTGCGCTGCTCCAGACTGGTCTCAATCTACAAGAAAAACTGAAATTGTGCAAGAACATTTAATGAGGCAGAAATCTGAATTCATGTCAGGTGTACTTCCTGTTTTTACGGGCCGATAATTTATTGTTGTCAACTGCTGACATTAAAACTCAATCCCTTATGACCGTCCATCTCACAGCACACATACCTCTCCCTCGCAATAATGTTTTGCCTAATGCTTCCGGAGACCTCCAAGTGGTCTTAATACTGTCGGACATTTTGTATCTATTGATCTGATTGTCATGGGATTGCCTGCAGAAAACAAGAGAGAGACTATTGGTTCTTCTATGTTGATGGCTCGTGTCAGTTATTTGCATGTTTGGTGTTGATGGAGCAAATATGTGCCAGGCTCTGCTGCAGGACGTTCATCATTGTGTTGTTCCCAATTCTCCTGAGGTGTGCTGCTCTGATTAACTGAAGAAGATGTTTTATTCAATTCAAGGGTACCAGCTTTTGTTTTTATGTTGTTTATTGTGTCAGCGCTAATATCACAGTGTCAGTTTCTTGTTGGTGACACGCTGATGTTGACCTAATTTTGCTTCGCAAATCCCCGTTTGGATGTAGGAGGTGAACAGTGATGTAATTAACAGAAAAGTTTCAGAGCAGAGCAGACTGGTTTATGGAGAGCTGTGCATGGTCCCACTCTGACACACTGTGAGTGAAATCATCAGCCTTTGTTTGATATCTAAATTACAAATATGAATGGCGTATAGAGCACAGTGTTGTCTGCTGCTGCTTTACTGTGGATCGCATTGATTAAGCTGCAGGCTTTATCTCAGTCTCATGTGGTTAAAGAGGCATGCTGAAATTACCAGTGGTGTTCATATGTAAATAATATATGTATTGTGTTTCACTTGCTTTGGGTGTTTGTCTTTTGGAACTGAAAGTGTGCATGATTGTTTGGTTTTTTTCATAAAACGTTCATATTGATATATTGTGTGCATCCCTGAATTTCTATTGTATTTGCTCCAAAGTGGCCTCTTCGAATCTCTAATGTTTTATGTGCAGCTCAGTGGCAATCCAATAGCTCTAATAATACTAGCCAATACTGCCACCTACCCTTTAAGATCTGCAGCCGCAGCTTCTTCTCTGACTAACACGCAGAGACACACACCAGAGGAAAAAGAAAACCAACAAAAGCACCAGTGTTGGTTTAAAACTTTACACTTGAAAAGAAACACCAAACGTATGACTCCGTTATGTTTATGATGGGTCAGATTAAAATTAACTTAGTTTAGGCTTCAACTAGACAAAGTTGCTTCTTCAGAGTTAAACTTGTTCTTTGATGGGTTAAAACATCCGTCCTAAACATCTCAAAAACCAAATTCCTTATTCTGATCATCTGCCCACACTGCGTGTCTACTTGAAGGGTGAACCTATACAACAAGGTTAAATTACTGGGATTAATTACAAATAGTTTACCGTCATGGGTTGAGCATTTTGACAACAAAATGTCTTCCTTGTCCTCCAGCACACATTCTAGGGCGAGTAGTTAAATCTTTCAGTGTAAGCCTCCTGGGCTTTTACTCACCTGCATGGTCTTCATCAAAAAAGGGTACTGAGTAAACTGCATAAGAACAAACACAGAGAGCGTGCATCGTAAAATCTTATGATTACCAGTAAAGAAAAACATGTCTCAACAATGTCACTCTCTTCATGTATTCCACCAGTCAAATTTCCTATCGTTTTAACTTTCACATTTCACTTGAACAGCGGCCAAATCATGTTACCTCATCCATAATATTATGCTTTCAAAAAGCCAGTCAGCGTGGCATCAATCATTGGAATAATTGCCCCCTTTACATACATCAATCCTAAAATTAATTCAAATACCATTTAAGAATGCATTACCTAAGCAGCTGATCGATAGCTCAGGGTTTGTCATGTGTAATGTTTTCTTATTTCCCGGTGATGGCTCTGGAGGCTAATTAATGACAGATGATTGATTACTAATGTTTATTCCTTTTTTATCACCATCCTGTAACATTCTGTTGATCTTTGCACCATTCATTGAACCTTTTACTTGTTCCGTTCGACAGGAGGTCTGAGGTCAGGACATTGGGATTATTGTGATAAACACAAAGCCCAGAACATGTTGAAAGATGCTGCGAGTGTCTGAGTCAGAAGCAGACTTATGGACATTGAGAAAGAGGCTCGGTCTAGACTTTAAATAGAAGAAGGAAAACCACAAAGCTCTTTACAGCGGTGCAGTTTATGATTATTGTGCATTTTCTTGTGTATCCTGAGAGGGAAATCAGAGACGGCTACTCCTGTTCATCTCAGTCACGGTTTGTTCCTCGCCGTGACTGACAAACACCAGAGACGTCTGTCCTCTGCAGATCCTGTCACACTGTCTTAATGTCAATGACAGTACTCATGTAAATATAACTAATAACAACCTTTTATATAACCTTTTATAAAAAAAAGCGTAAGAGCTGTCTGATCCGACAGGTTGTTACAGAGTCGAGGTTGTGAATCATTTATTAAGAACCCCCCTATGGAGATATTCAGAAGCTAAACATGCATGCAAGGCTTAAAAGTGATCATTTAAATCTTTAACTCTTCAGGTAACAAATGTAGAAATGCTAAAACTGGAGTTCCACACATACTCTCTTGCTGAAGTCTTTGGTTTTTATGAAGCAATTTTGAAAGCGTTTGAGTAAACACAGATACAGAACAGTGCAATAGTCCAGTTCCATTTGTAATAACAACAAGAATGCGTCTCTGCAGATAAAATAGGTCTAATCTTTTATATTTTAGAACGCTGCAGGGAGGTGGACTGGGCTGCAGATTTTGATCTAAACGGAGATTACTGTTAAAAAGCAAACATTCGATTTTCAATGTTTTTGAATTGCATCTGAAACATAACGAGATATGGCCACCGAGTCATAAAGGTGATTGATTCCATTTCAAAGATGAACAGGAGTTGCAGTAACATCTTAAAGTAGACTTCGCTGTACAAAGCAATATCCAGAAAAACTCGCTTTTTAGTGATGCAGACAGACGCACTGTTAAATAATAGCAGCTCTTTTCAATCAGGGAGGATTAATCTAAAATCCAGCGGTTTAGCAGATTTCTGTGAAGCCACAAACATTTATTTAAAACTAAGCCGTGTCCTCTCTGCAGGCACGAGCAGCCAGCATTACTGCTGAACGGGAAAACACATAATGGATAACAACGAGAGCTACTAGCAGCACATTATGTCACACAATAGTGTACTTCAACACCAAACATCTGTCTGTCTGATGCTCCAAACTTTGATTTGATTTGAATAAACATTCACAATATTCTTTGTTTTGTGAGAATAAAAGATGTATTAGAGTTGTTTCAGCCAATGTTATTGAGGAACTATTAAAACTGCAATTCGCTCCAGCTGAAGAATCTTTGCATGGTCATTTCATAACAATAAAACTGACAAAAAACAATTCAGTGTACTAAAAGGCTGCTGCTGAGGATACAAGTGGAATGAAGACACCACAGAATGGAGACAAACTAAGACCCTTGATATAAATCTTATTGACATTTCACCACAGAGCTCTGAATCCACTCTGTGATGATAAGTGGTTTTCATTACACTAAAGAGCCGATAATGAGCACATTACTGCCACCTAGCCAGGCATGTGATGAAAGGTTGAAGCTAGCAGATGTACAGTAAAAAAAAAAATGGGCCAAATATGAGCCTGAAGCTCACATCGCATTTCAATTCAGCTTCATGTAGATACACTCACTTCTAACACAGTTCCTAGATTTCCATGAATTGCCTAGATATCAGGACACCTCCCCCTTCTTCACATGCTTATTAATGTGGAATTGTTGCAATTATCCGTGCAGAATGGCCAATTACCTCAATTTGAAGTTGCAAAAACAGCATTTCTGTTGTAGCTACATACCTTCATCTTGAAGTAATGTAAGAGACAAACACTGCATTCATACCAGCCGTTCAAACACGGCATTCAAAATGTGTTTTATGAATGAAACAGAGCCTTGTTAATGTTAGTGACACCTGTGATTCTCCTACTGTAACAAAATGGCTGCTCTGGAAAAGACCTTTTAGTCCACAGTTGACTTTGTTTTCCAGCACATTTTCACTTGTCTTAGCAGTAAAAGCACAGATGTCACAAATGATATTGATTACGGCTTCAATCCATTCCAGGATTATTAGTGAGCCCTGCCAGCTCATTAATCATTCGCCACACAATTATGACAGTTTTTTCACAACAAACAGAAAAGTCCTACTGACTGAAAGATGAATAGAAACTGGAGCTGATAATTCTCTGTGTTGACAGTAACAGACAGCCGTCACTGGATCCCTTTCAAAGGGAGCCTTTGAACAGACTTTTTTCACTTTCCTCTCTCTAAATTGAAAATCCACAACAATCCTTTTGAAGCAATAATTCACACTCGTAATGATTGTAGAACGGCCCCAGTTCGGTTCGCAAACTAAGCAGGCACTAACAGAACAGCACGGCCACAGGTCAGTGCATCTCATTATCTGACTGACAGGATGATCATGATGCATCCAAACGCTGCCAAGCTGACTCACAGCCTCAGTGTTTATGTGACCCAGCTGGATAATCCCTGACCCACTTACTGCATCTGGATGTGACTCCATCTAGTATGCTGATCCTCTTCCGAGCCACACAGCACTGTATACCTACTGTTAAATTAGCTGAGTACGAAGGAAAATATCTTTGGTTGTCAGAATGTTAACATTGGCGTGGGGAAATGTGCTGTTGTCAGACTTTGTGAGTGCGGTCATATTTCTGCAAATGTAGTTGATTTTTATCTCTGTGAGCAAAGGAAACGTTGCTTTACGAAAAATGTGACACAATTTAATTTATACACTGAATATAGAGTCATGTATATTTTGCATGTTCAGTATTTTGTTAATGTTCGTTATTACAACAGAGCACTCACTTCACTGGGAGCTATGCATTAATCATGTGGTCTATAAAACATCACAATATCTTTCAAACATCTTGTAAGACCAGGAAAAACTCTTTGGCACACAAAAGTTTAAGATACTTACACGATTTGTTCAGCAAGATGATCTTCATAAATGAAAACCACTTTTATGATGTTTGAAGCGTGAATGCAGCCGGCAGAAGTAAAAGCTGATGGTATGTTATGTTCAGGCTTTAAAGGAACTACACCACGGTCACATGAACGAGAGTATACACAACGAGGCTGTTAAGACTGACTAGTCGGCGTGATGATGCATTTAGCCACTTGTTAGGAAGCACTTTTTTTTTAACACTTAAATTCACGTGAGTGGCATCTACTTGATTTAATGGGGGGAAACAAAAAAGCAATCTTAAATGCACCAACCTAACACATCTCCTGCATCAAGAGAACATAAACAGAACAAATCATTCCTATAAATGCATTTTGCATCAAAGAACAATGATGCTAAACTCATCCTCATGTCAGTCACTCACTATCAGTCACATGTGGCAATCAACGTAGGAGAGAATCTCAACAGCATCCCCAACTGGGATTTCATGTTAGCAACTAAGCTAACAACCACATGTTGTAGCCTACCTAAGAAAACAATCAACCCAACTACAGCTCTCCCTTCATACTTGTTAATGATATTGATTGTTTTATTATCAACCCATTGTGTAAAAGCCTCGAGGAGGAACACAGAATAGCTGGATATTTACATTTTGGCATTAAAAACACTCACCTCCTGAAATGAACATGGGAATTACTCTGGAGGTGACCTCTGACCCCAACTCTGAAAGTGTCAGTAACAGCTTTTTTTAATAGCGCCCTCTAGGAACTTTCTGTTGAGTGCTAATGAGCACATGTTAGCATGCAAACTCTTGACTAAAACGACGTTAGCATTTAAATGAAAGCACTGCTGTGTCTCAGTCCATCGTCACTGAGTGGCCGGCATGACTCTAGACTCGTAATCTCGCTCCTTTAAAAATTACTTTTGAAACGATTAATCAATTATCAAAACAGTTGCTTATGCTGTCTTGACTAATTCTTGCAATGCGAGTTTAAAATAAAAGGTATGACGTTGTTAATGTATCAGTTGGCCATTGTGGTGCAGAACATGCAGCGCTGTTAAATGTTAACCACTTTTAGTTTGGGTCTCAAAACCTATAACTAACGATAAAAACAGTAAGCCTGCTTGTTCTTTATGATAATCCCAAAAATATTGTCCATCCACTGCTCTTGTTATGAATGCTCATAAATTAAATAGTCAGTGTAAGCAGCCAATAGTAATAGCTTTAAGGGTTTAAAAAACCTTAAAGAAAATAATGAGGTGTGTCTTTATTTTTGCTTTGTTTTTGTTGAAGTCATCTGAGACTTTAGCTCTCAGTGTATTTCCTCGGCTCAGAGCGTCTCTCTTCAGCCTTTTGCTCTTCCTGCTGTCTGACAACAGGATGCACTTTCAATCCCTTCAGCTTACACACTATAACAGTACGGACAACTACATTAATACTTCACCGGCTCATCTGCTGAACTGCAATCTCTTCTCAGTGGCTAAGCTCTCTGGATATTGCTCACTTTTGACACTTATTTTCCCCCCCACAAAAACAAAATCTCTTTAATCTCCCCCGCCGCTCCTTATCTCTGCAAAACACAATGAAAACACATTGCATGCATTTTGTCTTTATTAGGAATGTGCTGCAGAAGTATAATATTCCAAATGCCAGTTAATCTTTGTAATTTTCATCTTCTATTGTCAAACATGAATAAAAATCCACAACATGCCAATAACCACAAAGATTATAGAAGCCTGGTGGTAACATGTTAGACCATAACTACTTAAAGCTAACTCATATCAACTACAGAATCTTCACAATATTGAGATTTATACCTGCACTAACTGTTGATTACAATTCAATTTACATATTAAGTGCTAACCGAGGGAAAGCTGTCATATTTAATCATAACAGACTGCAGGTGTGAGCTCACGATTTCTGTTTCTGTACATGATTCAAAATCTAAGGTCTAATAAACAAGGAGAGTTTCATCCATTCTAGATGAAACCCAGTTGTTTCAGATCACAGTGAGAATCACAGGTAGATTAAGATTAGAGGTTAGTTAAGGATACATAGGAAATATATAATCATAATAATAACAATGATAATTAATTACATTTTAAAAGTAGTTCTCAGCATAGTGCTGTTAATATCTTACACCTATAAAACCGTGTTTGAACCAGTGTGTTACAAATTCAAAAAAAAACAGCATCCCACTGTGTGTGAAAAGAAAATGGGCACATAATTAAGGTGTTCATTACTGTTTAAGGGATTTTTCAAGGGACAAAAAAACCACAATATGTCTGGTTTATAAGTACAGGCTATACCTGTGGATGCAGACTGAGGCCACAGCCACCAACTTTGCCTGCAATCACAAGCTATTTCATTTGTTAACCAAATATTGATTCCTACGTGCATATACTCTGTTTCAAAACGATCTTTTACAAACATTATCAAAAGATTATAGATGTAGCATAATTAGTTTCACTGTAAAATTAATGTCTTGCTACAGTGTGTGTGTGTGTGTGTGTGTGTGTGTGTGAACATGTACCCCTCCCAGGCTCACAGTGGTCAGTGGTGTCAGCAGATATACAGTAAAGTTGCAGCAGAGCAGAAAACACTTTCCTCTCCACAAATGATCACATTTCTGTGATCATTTGAGTCTTTACAAAGCAAGGAACTTTCCCTCTGCATTTTTTTTGGCACACATTTTCCTTGCAGTGATGACTGTGCCTTCTGTGGGAGACTTTCCATAATCCCTTTCAGTTTAGCACCCGTAGCTAGTCCTTGATAAGCCTCTTTTTCATCCTCGTTTGCCACCCATACTCACTCTCAAACACAGGATGTATGGGCAGGAGAACCACGGAGAAGAGTCCGAAACAAGAGGACATACTGCGATTCAAAGTGTTTCTTCTCTGCGAAGGAATTGAGTGAGTTTCTGCTCTGTGATTCCAATGCAACCACAAATCCTAGAGCCTTCTCCATGTATCCGAGGGGATTTACCGGCAAGCTAAAGCTCTGATGTGTCCTGTTGTTGGCTGCAGTAAAGGATGGACGAGGGCAGACATTTTGTTTCATGTGACGCTGTAGATGGGAGGCAATCCTTTCCCTTTCACATTCTATGACCCCCCTCCACTGGTCTCCCCAGTCTCCAGTCCACCTCGTCTGAGTCCATTCTGCGGGTGATGATGGGAAGTGAAGTGTTTCTTGAGAATCGTTCTGAATGTGTTGACCAGAATACAAAGGGGCTGATTAGACTGTCTACTCTCATCTCCATCGAACAGACAACCCCCTCCCCCCTCCTGACTCAGGGCAGCAATTGCATATTTTACTTTCTTCCATTAGCAAAAAGGGATTTATATAGATTAGAGAAATACAAGTAAGCACTGTATATCGGGTGCATATTTGTCACACATCCAGGTAATGACGAGGCGGTAAAGACGTTGGTGCAGATGCGGGCCAGACGGTCAGTTGCCTAATCCAGTTTCATCCTCGGATGAAACTCAGGTTTTCACATTTACTAAAAAAAGAAAAGGAAGCGTATTAGTTGAAGAGCTAAATATTCTGCAACTTGATATAGATGTATCAACTTTCACAGACCACAGAGGACAAGTTATGTAATGAGAAACACATGAGTTGTTGAGTCCCAGAAGCCTTAAAGTTGTGTGTACAATTTCTCTTCCAGCCATTAAGTTAATTAGGACATCTCTTGGCTTAATGAGACCCAACAGGCTGCATTCAAAAGCAAGAGTACAGATAAGTATCTGCTTGAACTGAAGTGAAACGGCAAATAATCATTTAACTGACTGGCCCTTCATGTATATATATTTAAACACACAGTACTGCAAAAGACAAATACTAGGTCCTTTCTTTACAAATCTATAATAAGTCATAATCACTGATCTGTTATCAGAATCCCTTTATTTGGTACAATAAATGTACATTTGTCTTGTGAGCATGTCAACAACTCACACACTGACATTATACTGTATATACGGATACATATGGTACAGGGACCGCAAGATTTAACATTTTGTACAAGCAAACAAGGCAAGGCATAGAACAGAAAGCGAACTACACAGGTCACTCTATGGATGAACACAAAGCAATCTGAGGCATGCAGTTGATTACAGCTGGAGGCCGCCCGTGCAAAGAAACAAAACATGGCAGGAAATATAGATTTGACCAAAAATGCTCCGATCTCTGATCTCTGAGTAGACACAGTTCCTAAAGTGCCACAGTGTCTAAATATTGTATAGTGCGTGATAATGTCAGTGATTACAGTCAGATTGTGCAAAAAGAGCTAAATGGGAATGGATACAGGGGGAAAGGGGCAGGTGATTAGGTCAGGAGGATCAGTGGTAGCCGGGCTATTGCTACGAATTCAAGGGGGAAGAATCACTGCACACAGGGGGTAAAAGGGTGAGGTTATGGTTTAAAGGTCAGATTTGGGACACTCACTAGCCAGGTTGACAATGCAGGCGACGATAATGACCGTCCCTCCTACTAGTGACACGATGGAGAGCATCTTGGCCACGCGTCCCAGACGCACGGCGCCGTCCAGGTTTCCCTGCTCGAGACTATTCCTGGACTGAAGGAGAAGGTTGAACCATCTGTTAGCTGTGGTTTGATACAGGTGCCTATTAAGAGTAAAAAACAAAACAAAAACAAAAGATCCTTCTCTCACCATGATGGAGTAGACAAATCCCACAATGTTGATGGGCCAGACGGGGCAGAAGCAGGCCAGCACAGATAGGAGGAGGTAGTCTTTGATTTTGGTCCGGTCCAAGGGCGGGTTGGTGGCGATGCTGGAGTGGCGAGAGATCGACGGCCTGGGCGAGAAGGCAGTGTAGCCGATGGAGCTCGCCCTGCTCCCCTTCCTGGTCTTGTTGTGATGGGGGTAAGAGATGGAGTGCTGTCTTCTGGGAGGAGAGCAGATGACCGGAGAGGTGCTGTCGGCGGACGCTGGGTGGATCCCATTACCTACACATGGAGGGGACGAAAAGGACGGGCCACATGTTTAAAACATTGGAGGAGGTGAATATGTGTGTGCGCCACCAGGAGCTCTTTCGTGCACTTGAACTTGACTTTCCCCGGGTGAGCTGACTCAGCAGCTGTGTGAGACCTCCCCTCCTCCACCCACCCGCTGCTTTAACAGGAGGTCAAACTTACTGTTCTTCAGCTTCTCGTTGATGACTATCACTAGCTCGCCTTTGGATTTGCTGCGGGGAGGCCGTGTGCTGACCGGGCTGCTGCTGCTGCTGTGGATGAGTGGTTCACCTCCGACTGGTGGGCATGGCATAGTGACGGCAACTTGGCTCGACAGAGAGTCCTCCTGGTCCAGCAGCGTTGGTTGTTCCTCCCCTGACCAAATGGTGGGAGATGGCATCGTGTTCACAGCCATGCTGACAGCGAAAAACGAAGCCTTTGTTTGTGGTCCAGTCCTGTGAGTGCTGCCTGTAGTTCACCTGGGGGCCAGAAAAATGATTTTAAGCATATTTATGAACAGGAGACGCTTCCTCCCATCGGTTTAGGGACTGTACAAAAATAATTGTGGTGGGAAAGAGGGTTTGGAAGAGGAGAAGGGAAAGATGTATCTTTTCTTTATGCTGAAGAAAGGGCTCTAACTTTTCGGGAATAGCAGTGTTTAACTTTTTCTCAACCCAAAGTTTTTATTTCATTATAAACAAATAAAAAGATGAAATACTGAAATGATTAATATTGTATGCAACACAGAATATTACTGTGTGTTTAGCAACACTCGTGCCTCTGCGTCAGGGTTTATTTTCTTCATCAAAATCAACTAGAAGTTAATAAGATCATTATGTTTAGAGAATCAAACTACTGAATCTTTGTCATTACTAATCTAAATTAATATTTCTACAAAGCGTGTTATTGTTCTGACCATCACAGCTCTTGGTTCGTGATTAAACAATGGTTTGAATATTCAGTGAACCGGGCACATCATTTTGTTGTGTTTTCCATAATTGTGGCTATTGCTAATGTGATAATCATGAGAAATATTCCATTAAAAGGAAACTCGTCGAAATCTGTTTCCATCTCTTGGGGAATACTATCGTATCAAAACATCTGGCTGAAGCTTTTTGTGGATTCAGAGGGAGCTGCGCTAAATCTGCATGAGCGGCTAAAGGAGTCTCCGACAGAACTGCTAAGGTCATCTAATAGCATTGTGGGTAATGTAGGCGTCGGGTTGTGACAAGGAAGAAGAATGTGTGAAATACAAAAATAGATGATATCGGATTATTCTGCATCAGTTTTGATCAGTGCAATGCTAAATCAGTAGAGAATGATCTTTTGAGATTTAAATTAAAATTGGCCTACAACATCGGAAATTCTTTGTTATTGATGGCGAAATTAGTTGTACCAAATGTCTTGTTATGTAGAGATGTGTTGCATTTCCTTTTCCAATTCAAGGGGAGGTCCAAAGAAAATAATGCTGGGCTTATGCTTTATGAAATAGTGAACATCCTTCTCACTCTAATATACAGTAAATACATTCTGCTTCAGCCGATTTAGAGTCGCAGCCCAGGCTCAATAACACCACAAGCCTCTTAATCCACATCACATTGATGCTTATTTAAGATCACCCCTTATATCATGTTGAATTGTAAATAAATAGATTCCAGGTAAACCGATAAAAACACAAGTCTCACTACAAGTCAGGCCTCTTTAAAACAGCAGACCATGCAATCTCAGGTTACAATGAAAGCAGGTCACAATGGCACGGGGAGCACAAAGGCATGCAGATGGAGAGCACGTTCCTTTGAAACGATAGTAGCAGCCATCTCCGTGCAGGTGTGTAAATACCATTATTTCCCCGTGTGTACACAAGCGCCAATACATGATGGCCGGTTGTTGGGCACAGTACAAAAGGTAAAAAAAAAAAAAGAGAGCATAAAATAAGGACAAAGGACAAATACTCGGATAGAAGAGTGCGTGTGTGCGTGTTGTGGGAGGGGGGGGATTAATGAGCTTGCTGCTCGTCGTTTAAATTCAGTGGTTGTGAGCTGCTGAATTGCAATAAGCAGAAAGAAAACATGCAGCCTGCATTAGATGCTTGCATTTATACCAAACTGTGACCGAATAGGAATTTAGCATTTCAGACCAACACCCAGGGGGACACGCGCACACGGTGGCTGTATGAATATAAATCAAACTGACCTGTTTATTCCAGCGCCTGTCTCAACGCAGCCGGAGTGTGCCTAGTCTTGACATCGTTCTCAGGTGCAAAAAAAAAAAAACACTAACCCAAAACAAATAAAACATCAGACACGAAGACGTGTGAACGTGCGCTTCTTGAGAGGAAAAATCCGACAATTTCCTTTATTGGATGTGAAAGCTGGCGAAGCGGGGGTGTGGCGCCTCGTTCCGGTGCAGTGTGCTGGGATGGATGGAGAGTATCCTGGACGGCAGGCTGGAGTAAGAGAGGAGGGGTGTGTGTGTGTGTGTGTGTGTGCGCGCGCGCGTGAGAGAAAGGAAACGTGAAATCGAGGAGGCTGTTTATGGCATCCTCCTCTCCTCAACCAAGAAAACTGCTTTTCACGTTTAACATTCATCCACTGATGCTGCGTCACATCAGCCTGTGATACAAAACGTGTCCTCGTGTCTCCACCTCGCAGAGGACGAAAGTTAAAAAATGAACCCAATTGGAGTTTTTAAACCCAGAAACAGGAGATAACTTCCCCCAAACAGGGCGACTGATTTAAGAGGCAATAAGGGTACATTAGGTAATGTGAAAGTCCATGACATTTATTTATTGTGATGAAATAAACACTCAAAACATTCAATGTCACGTGAGATATTTATTAAAAAGCAGCAGTGCGCCACCAGCTGGAGCACAGTAGTAACTACAAAAACATCTTGAAGCAAAGCATACACGTCAAAAGCTTTCGATAGAATTGATATACATTTAACAAAAACGGTACAATATTAAAAAAAATTAAAAGACTTAAAAACATAAAAATAAAATCACTTCCCCATGGTGCTCAGGATGTTTGCCTGCAGGGAAAAAAAAAAAAAAAAAAAGAGTGAATATTAGTACCGAGAAATAGCAAGATCATCACTAAAAGCTGCACAATGCGCAAATACTGGTCATGGCCTCGAATGCATTAGTGCGTCAGCCATGCTAGCGGCTGTGGAGATTGACGCTAACGTGCTCACAGTGACACCATGCTGGTGTTTAGTAGTTACGATGTTCACCATAAACAGTAAGTAAAGCCCAGACTGACGAAACGCCATTATTTTGAAGTTATTAGGTCACAAACCAAAATTGCTTACTCCTCCCTTTATAAGATTGCGGCAATGTGAGCCGCCAAGAGCAACAACTGCGGTACCGCTGCTCGCCTCGCTCAGAGGTCATTCTTACAACAAGAACAAAAACAACACTTCAGACTGCGGTACCGCGGGGGTTTTGCGCTATTCGGCTCACATTACTGCAGTTCCACAACCGCGGCCTTGAGGTTAAGCAAAAAACGTGAAAAGCTCTCGCTATGAAGGGGTCAAAAAGCACAACGATTAATCGTTTCTGGTGATTATACGCACATGAATATTATACTCTATTTCTGTTAATAGATGCACTGAAATACTGGTTCTTTAAAATCACAAATGTCAATCTCAAGCAAAAAAACGTCAGGATTGCAAAAAAAAACAAACAAACAAACGAGTAGGATTCATACAGATTTTCATGGGAATCCATCAAATAGTTAATGAGAAATTTCAGTACAGACCAATGAGGTGGAACGATAGAGATATTCTATTTCAATAGGTAGAACAGACCACCCCCAAATATTTCACTGAAGTCTTGGCTTACCTTCATGAAGGTGGAAAATCTCTTCGCCGTCATACCCTCAACTTTCATCACATCCTCCAACTGCAGATTATCAAAGCATAATTAAAGTAAATGCAAAGTGAGAAAAACAAGATAACACATCGCTGTGATTGAAACCAGATCTGCGCCGGACATTTTCTCTGCTGACCTTTATGAAGTGACCCTGGATCTCCCTCCAGCCCAGGATGAGCTTCGCCTTCTTATCTCCGATCTGCTGCAGACCCTTCAGCTCTTTGAGGGTGCCCGTGTTGAGAACCTGCAGGATCTTCTGTCTGGAGTGCTCCAGCACCGACGTGTCAAGCTGGGATTCCCAACCAGTCTCCATAATATTCTCTTTACCATCTGGAAGCTGCGACAGAAGAGACACACGCAGTGTAAAGTTAGACTATAGAAGCTGTACACGGTCAAAATGTATACACATATTGTGGCCGAGAGAGAAGGTTCATTTTGACATAATAAATGTGAGATGTTGCAGCAACAGTCGAGATAAAAAAAACAAAATTGAGCCTAATGCACCACGTCAGCTTGTATCTGATGCTTGCAATGCTGCAGATGTGTCAAGCTAAGTGCATCACAGCCGAGGCCTGAATGCTGACCTCAACCTGGTCTGAAATCTTCCTCTCTTTCTTCTTCTTGACGCAGACGGACTGTTTTTTGACGACGGCCAGCTGCTGAAGAGGCTGGAGCTGGAGCTGGGTCACTGATGGGGAGGAAACACACAAATTAATGTTGTATTCACACAATGCGACACATTAGAACCCAATCTGTTTACAATGAAAATACTAGCACGGAGGGGTTGAAACAGTTACAATGTCATATTTTGTTTAGAGTCTGGTACGATTTCAAAGCCAAATGCACGATTCTCACTCATAAAATGCTGAGGGTTTGAAAAATAATTCCTCGTCGTCGTCGTCACTGGATCCATTTTCTGGCTTCTATATTGTAGACTGAGCTCTTGTATCACATTGCAGCTCATCAATAAGTCCAGTGATTCAACATGATGGAATTAGTGGGCGACTACTCTTTAGGGAAACGTAACAGAAGACGAGTACGCAAAAGGAAAAAAAGCATTTTCAAAGTCAGTTTCTTTCCTTCCTTCCTTAGTGTAGGTCAAATTAAAGACAGCAGTATCCGATAGGTTTATAGTCTGAATATGGTGATTCTCTGCATGCGTTCCCCATTAGATGAAATTAAACTTCTATTTGACTGTCAGCTAAATCATACAACTTGAATTTAAGTGTGCATAGGCGAGTTACATTTCTAACTGACCCTGTAGGGGCTGGACCACCGCCTGCTGCTTATTGGCTTTGGTGGCAGCTGACGGTTTTCTTTGCAGAGGAGCTGTGCTGTTCTTGAAGGACTTTTCTCCATCCAAACGACTGAATAGCATGGCCTTGCTCTCAAACTCCCTCTGCTTCTCTTTGATCTCCTGTAAAAAGAAAATCAGAGTGGCAAGGTTGGCTATCAAATATCCACGAGGAAGAGTTGATCAATCAGTATAAAGATCTGACAAGCATCAGCATCTGGTAAATCACCTACAGACAGTAGAGACAGAGGTTGGACCAGGGGCAGATTTAAATGACTAGAACCTATATTATGCAGGGTTACATGACAACCAGGTGGATAAACTCAAGTTCTGTAGCAATGTGTTTTCACCTGGATCTCCTTGCGAGACTGGGCTACATCTTTCAGCATGCTGCGCTCATCCTTGTCCTGGCAGTTCATCATCAGCTTCTCCAGAGCTATTAGTCTGTCCATCACTGACGGTTCTGACAAACTGAAACGGACAAACAAAATCAAGAGAGAGAAAAAGTAGGTCGACAGCGAGTGGTGGCAGTACGGACCGAGGCTTTGAAATGCACTCAGAAGTCAAAAGGTTGACAAATCCGAGGCACAGACAGATCCATACACATAACAGATGGCAAGGAAGCCGCGTTTGTGTCGGTCCCAAAAAGATCCCAGCAGACACAGCAGCTGTAGCCAATGGGAGCACAGCAGAGAGAGTTGCTTTCAGCACAAGCCATTAAAAAAGGGGAGCCACTGAATTAAGGCCACTAGGCTTGTTGTGGACTGAATTTAATGTGGTTTTTGTCACAGTCAAACGTCAGTCTGATTAGTGTGCGATCTTTAACCTGTGGAAATGTGAAGACGGCGAGGAGCCGTCCTGTTCACTTTTCCTCTCGTCTTTCTGCTTCTTCTTCTTCTGTGGCTCGGTGCCAGACCCCCCTGCCTCGTGGTCTTCTCTGGCCCGCTTCACTGGAGATGAAGGTAGAAGGGAAAATTAACAGTTTAGTATTCCGTGCACTCAGGCAACACTATTTGTGGGGATCTCTAGAGTGTAAAGCAATACAGATGAAGACGGCACGGCATCAGTCAAGGCTGCATTGCAGTGCCAGAACTAAAGCACACGGGAGAACAGCATCAACAATCTATTTAAGATCAGCTAACTTCAGGTGTTGGGAAAAAACATTTTAAAATGACATACATCATAAATAGCTGATTGTTTACTCTTCGTCACCATCCTCTGGGATGTGACACAGATGCCCCCTATTGGGCTTGGAACTCGTTCTGTCAGAGCTTCCTCTTCTCAGCCTGTTATATACATTTATTAATAACATCGGCGAGTGCATTTCTCACTCAGTTTTACTCACTTGGCAGCACAGGCACTGCCACAGTTTCACAGGTGAAGGGCTTGTTCACAATGAGCTTGGATTTGGAGGCAAAGTTGAGAGCACCGAACGTATCAAAATAGAATTTGTATTCAGGTGCAATGTTGGTGATCATGACAGAGTGCGCCGAGCCACCCAGAGAGTCCTGTAGCAGCCGCGTCAGTTTACTGTCTCTGTACGGCACGCGGGCGGCGGTGCCCGAGTTAAGAGAGTCCACGACCTTGTTGAGGGTGAAGAGAGACAGGTTGATGGCGCCGCTCTCCTTCAGCCGGATGCCTTGGTTGCCGGTGCGACGGTTGTCCTCAGACCCAGCCAGGTCTATCAAGTACAGCTTCCCCGTCTGCTGTCTGTGGGGCAGGGCACGCTGAGTCCGAACAACCTAGACCATGGAAAGATTAAAGTTTACATCTTGTGCTATCGCAAACAGGAACCTGAGCCGCTCGCCCATGAGTAGATGCATGCTTCCTTCTGCTCAGTGATATGGTTGGTAGGTGTAGTTCGGTAGAAGGAATCTTATCTTGTGTTACCGTGTGTCATGATTTCTGAAAATATTTGTATTTTTGGCGCTTTGAGTGCCATCTAGTTCCTTTATAATGGAAAGGATTCAGACATCTCTTTGGCCGATATCTCCAAAACTAGGCAACTCGCACCAAAACAATCTAGATTGATAAATAGCACTACAGGTGAGGAGGAAAAAACAAAAATGCATTTTTGATTGTGAGGTGAACTGTCCCTTTAAATTAGGTAAAAGGTAGGCAGCCAAATAGGCTTTTTTTGATAAATGTGACACATTGTACATTCAGCAATACAGCACAGGAAGTTAGAACGACAAAAAGAGGACAAAGTTAAGGTAAGAACAGCAGACACAAGTTTGTTTCTCTCCCAGAATAGTCCCAGAAAGCCCAGATGTTGCTAGCAGGAGCGTTACAAGAGAACTGATTTCAGCAACAGCCACCCCACCAAATCCTGACCTACTGCTCAGAGGCCATGACCTGTTTAAGATGCCATTTAAAAATCCACTGGACATCCACGGACAGACTAGTTCAATGAATGATTCTCAAAGATAATTGTAAATGAACAAACAGTCTTTGCTTTGAGTTAATCAGATGACATATCAAACCTTGATGAGGAGGATAGCATGGCTGCGGCTGGAGCGCTGATTTAGTTTGGTAGAGGCTGTAGTACGATTGAGGCTGGCAGGGACAAACTGTTTGTCAAAATCTGAGAAGCAGGAGATAGTTGTGTGAGTCAGACCAGGGATCAGGATGTTCTTGTCCTTGTTCTCTCGGATTGGTAAATCCTGGGAGCTTGGCGATAGAAGATCCAGCACCTGAGAGACAAGATATATTATACACTCTTTTACAACATTACACTATTTCACTTGGACAGAAAGCATGAATCTATACTGCCAACCATTTATACCTTTTCATTGTAAATTTCCAAATAAGACATGCTGATGCTGTAGTCCCATCCTTCATTGCCATCTTTAGCTTTGACCAGCTTGAAGACCTCTCGAACGGCTCGGGGGATCACACCCGGCTGATCTGAACTGCCCATCATGGTGTGGGTCTTACCTGATGATGGGAACGCGGGGAGTTAGTGAGCAATAGGTGCAATTTGGAAATGAATAAGTCATATACAAAAAAAAGAGTTAATATGTGGCAGCGACATACCAGCTCCTGTTGGTCCATAAGCAAAGACACTGGAGTTCTGTCCATTCAGTACGTGTGATAAAATGGGCTTCACTGATGACAGGAACACTTCTTGCTGTGTTGTTTGCTCACCATGAAACACGTCAAAACTGTTGGACAATAATGACAGATATCAACGAGGATAAGGGAGGCATGAGAAACAGTTAAGGTGCAGAGATGCCGAGGACACTGACTGGTATTTGACCGTTTCTGTAGCGTTTCTCCAGTTGATTATTTCCAGGTTCTGTGAGTCCAGGCCTTTCACACACGGGCCCTCGTCCTTCTCATCTTGAGTGTCCATATAGGGTCGCAGGCGAACCGCTACCCGAACGCTGGCGGTCTTCTTGTGTGCTCCATCGGACACCGCCAAACGCTGAGCCATATTTGAACTAATAAACAAAAATGACAAAGGTTAGATATTAGCACAAACCAGGCGAGCAGACTTAGAGCTTACGCTGTTTACCTCTGTAAATCGGCTAATAATAAGCTAGCTTTAGGTCACGTTTACGTTACTCACCTAGCTAGCTGAGGTACGTAAACGTTACTGCTTCACAGAGTGTAATGACAGTGTTTCGTTCGTGCTTACCAATATTACTTACGGACTCCTTGTTCAAACGCTTTTGTTTTTATCCAAGTTTCACTTTTGGCAACATTGCAGAAGCCGTCTTTTAACAATGGCGATGGAGCTCCAAAAACACCATGACGTTAACCGAAAACTTTTCAAATAAAGGAGCACTGCAACCGGAAACGACCGTGGACCAATCAGAACTCGCTCACACGGTGGGGCCTATTTAACGTAATTTATACGATGCAGTCGCGCATCGACTATTGTAGTCCAATATATGGTTTATAGACACGTATAAACACATTTTAAATTGAGGCATAGCGAATAGTGAAGCAAAATATGTTTATTCAAAATTCGGCCAACATGAACTCAGCCCTGTATGCGATTGCGTGCTGCGCAGGAAGTAGTCCCTTTTTATTTTTTATGTTTTATTCTTTTAATTATTATTGTTACTACTGTTATTATAATTATTCGTATTATTATTATTATTATTATTATTATCCTTTAGAACAGTGATTCAACTTTTATTCTGAAACTTCACACTCCGGTACAGTAGGTGGCGGTATGCACCTGTTGAAGTTGGTTGCGATCCGCCAATCAAATTAGAGAAGAAGAAGGAAGTAGTCCCAACAGTAGATCGCTACAACACACAGCTTAACTGCCGCGCGCTGTTCGCGGCGTCGACGGACTATCCGTTTGGTGTTTAATCAACGGGAATGCGCGGTCTCACCGAACCAAGCGGATCGTCACACAACCCAAAATGGCGCTATGTTTACGTCTCTGTATAATCGTGTATTATCTCTAAAAAGTCTCATGGAGAGCTTCGGTGATTTCATTCTCTGGGAAAGATAATTTGACGATTTAAGCAACACCTGCGACAACCCGGACATTCGGTAATGACCATTTGAGGCACGTATCTTAACTTATTTATACATATCTGACGGTTAGGCCTGAGGTTAGCTACATAGTTAAGTCAAAGAAGTACAATATTACGTGTAATGTGTTGCTTTGTCCACTGCTTTCCATTCATCAAAGTTAACAGCTAACGTTACCAGTTAAACGTTATGAGCCTGGTACCACTCTTAAGAGAACCCCCCCACTTACCTATTACTTTGATTTGTACTAACATGTAGCTTTTCATTATTCATGCTTGTGTTTTAGCAGATCTGTGACTACTAAGTTCACCAGCAGCAGTAGGAAGGATGCAGGCTGAAGCCACAGACTCCTCACTGAGAGAGGGCATTGAGGCTCTGGGGGTGCACGACGCAGAGAAACCTGCAGCAGGCAAAGAGGAAGAGGGCGACACACACGAACAGGACACGGACATGACAGCTGCCACGGAAGAGGATGCAAACACCAAGAATGAAAAGGGTAAGAAACACAAATCACACACACATTGAAAGCACACGTAGCAGGGAAGACATCTCATCATTAAGGAGAAAGTCCACTACTCAGAGTCTGGAAAGTGCCCAAGGTTAATACTGTAAAGAGTTGAATGTTCAGTGTCATTGTGTACTTTAACTGTAGTACCTATAATAAAAAAAGTAATCTACATATCATGTAATACTGAAGTGTCGTACTTTTGTGAGACTGACTTTGTGCACATTTGTGCTGCCTCCTCAGCTGCAGTGGAAAGAGAAGTACACAAGGATGAACCTCAGGCAGACACGGGGGTGGGAGGTGGAGAGGGAAAGCAGGCTGCGGGAGTGGACGGTGAATGGGAGCTTGCGTACAGTGACGAGGAAATGGAGGACCCCAAAAACTGGATGCCCCCTCCTGCCGAGATCAAAAGACTGTATGAGCTCCTCTCTAAAGGGGAGATGCTGGAACTGAACTTTGAGCCCCTTCCTAGGAGGCCCCCTACTCCCGATCGTACCCCCTCACCTGAAAGAGAGGACGAGCAAGGGGCAGCAAAGGAAAGACAGAGGGAGGAGAGAGACCGCAGGTTAGTACGACTATTTCTCATCATTTCATCAGTTAGGATTTTTGTTTGTGTACAGGTAATGTGAAACATCATTACTGTTTTTTTTACAGGCCTCTAAGTCCAACTGAGTTTGACTTTGATGAAGAGCAAACACAAGCCACGCCGAAAAATGCCTTTGTGAACAGACGCAGAACACCAGGTAATAACCACTGAGATTTGATTTTTAAAACCTTATAAGCAAAGTCAATGAATAGTTTTCAGTCTTCTCCGGTTTGGTGGTTTAGGGAAATCTGGTTGACGTTTCCCCCCCCCCCACCCACCCTTTCCTTCCAGGATCTTCGGCCCGCTCCTCTGTGAAAAGGGAAGCTCGGCTGGACAAGGTGCTGTCTGACATGAAACGCCACCGCAAAATGGAGGAGCACATCATGCGTACGGGCCGAGATCTCTTCAAGAGCGAAAAGAAGCAGGAGGCGGCTCTGTCTCCGAACAGCCAGAAGGAGCGGGAGAAGGAGAGGGAACGAGACAGCAACCCCAACACCATCTTCTCCCCGAGACAGAGGAGATACTGAAGTATTAAGAGACGAGGACTTGCTCACAGGCAAATAGGGCCAAGTGCTTTCCAGGCTTTTCTCAAAACTTGAATTTTTTTATCTAACAAGTTTTGTATGTTTTCTATGTGTGTTTTGTATGTTGGCAATAAACATTTGAACCCAGGAGAATGTTAACTGTTGTAATCAGCGTTCAGTAACGATGGGTGATGAGAACAACAGTGATAGTGGTATATATTGTGGGATATTAAAGAATCTTTATGGAAACAATAAGATAGGGATGTAATGTGAAGACCTAGCAGATGAATGTATATGATCATATTTAAGCAGAAACCATATATATAAAAAACAATACTGCAATAAAGCAGCCCTGCTCATTTACATACATTTCCCACAATGGCCTGCTACAGCTATATTAAAGGGACCTCGGTTTCTATCATTACTCACAATGTGGTGACTTCCTCTCATAAAACAGCCAAATGAAGATGTTTACATTGTGAAAAGATAGTCGACTTCCCAATGCTTAAAAAGTAACTGCTAGTAAAGCAGTATTATTACACCAATACATGGATTCTGGCTCCCTCTAGTGGTTCACTTTTCACTTCTGATGGACAGCAATGTTCAAACTAGGTTTATGATCTAACAAATGGCTTTTGGTAAATTTCAACATGAACAAAACTTAAGTGTAAAAAAGACTCGAGGCAGGATCAGGACAGAGAAGTATATTTTAGCTAACTTGGAGTAACAATACAGCCTTCACATAAGGCTCAGAAGCATATAGTAGAATATGTATGCATAAATATGCATTCAAAACCACAAACCAAATAAATAAATAAATACTTACAAATAAATAACGAGCATTTTGTGGAATATACAGTACATCAGTTGAAATGTTGTAGTATTGTCAAGAAGCAGTACCTTATGAGTTCATGGAACGGGAATGGATGTTCTGTGTTCAACATGCCCACAGTTGTCCAGATGGTTTTGGCACACGCGGCCCTGTCTTGATGGTTTCTGAGCTTTTTGTTTTTGTTTTGACCCATTTGTAGGACAGTGAAGCGGCTTTAAACAAACGTAAAATGATAAAACTAGCCAGTTTGTTCATAGGCGGTTCATAGAACCAGTGGCTCAAATAAACGGCTAAATTATCAAAGTGTTTCATAAAATCTAGAAGGCTTCAAACTATTCATAAACTTGATGATGGTTAAAATATAAATGAGGAACATCAAAATAAATGGACAAATGTGCTGCATGTCTATCACAAGGGAATGCTTCCCTACCAGATTATCTTGTTTCCCTTCAAACGGCAAAATTGCAAAGTCCCCCGACAAAGCTTTAAATACTCTTATGGATCCCTTACTGAAATATTCCAGCCAATCAAATGGATAGTTTCAGATTCATATCAGCACCAATCTAAAAAACAAAACAAAAAAACACTCGTTTTAAAGTGACTGCTACTGTGCATCACTTCCTTGTATGCTAAAAACACTTTGTGATACCAGTAAATGGAATGAAGTCATATCTACAATGAAACAAGAAGCACTGCTTTACGGTCTGGGGGAACTCTGCGTACACTTTGCGGCAAAACAGTGAAATGCTTTGTGTTAATGCCGAAATGTCATTATTCAAAAAACGTCTGTTGAAACATCAGATGCGAGACAAAACCTAAAAAAAGAATAAAACCCAACATTGACCTAATACTGAGGTGGAAATAAGGACAATTTTACATCGGCTATGTACACCCGTCACATTTTTCTGTCTGAGGAAGCCGCTTCCTTCTCCTCCGGGGATGAAAATAAATAAAAATCTAAAGAAACGGCAAAGAATTGGGGGAAAGGGATAAGGCAGCAGAATACAGTCTTATGAGATTATCTCCCTTCTAAAGATGAGTCAGCCTGCAGGTTGGTTACATTTTGTTAAGAGTGACAGTGACTACATAGAGGATACAGATATTAAACACTAACAAGTCAAAATACTGCTTAGTCGGGATTTTTTTCTTTTTTGAAGGTCTTCTTCATTACTAAACTGAATTAGGCCTTCCATCTACAGCAAATGTACTAACATACAATATAATACATTCCTATTCTCCTACTCTTCCTATACCGTGAGGCAGAGAGGACTCAATTTGATCTACATGAGGGAAATCGCCACCTATGCTTGCTATACATCCAGGCAAATTCCTCTCAGGTCAGTGCATGTTCCTACCGGTCAGAGTGCCAGATAACATCTTTAAATACTGAGTGCATTAACACTCCACTTGTTTCCTACAAACTGAGATGCTGAAGTGATTGAAGGCCAGCGACCAAATCATTTCACAGTTAGGAGCTCGATTGCTGGCCGCAAACACTTCAGCAATATTTGAGGCCTTTTGTCTGTAGCTCTCTTCATATTGCTACTTGTCTCACTTCTCCCTCACAGCTTTCTTTCCTTTACATACTCATTGGTACATTCGCCTTTCTTCCCTCCCCCACCCTCCCCTCCCCTCCACTCTCCTCAGTGAGTGGCCAGCTCAGGCTCTGAGGCACACGTGCTGTAGCCGTTGGCTGGCTGGGGCAGTGCGTTGCCGTCCGTCTGCCCCTCCTTGGCTGCGCCCGTGGTCGCACCTGGTCTCTGAGAGCGGGAGGAGCCCATGAATAGTCGCAGGGCGCCCCTGCAAATTAGGGAAAACCAATAGAGCTGGGGAGCCATGAGCAGACCAGCACCGAGGTTACAGTGCCAGGGCACCGACAGGGGAACCATGTGGAAGGGAATGGACGCGTACCTGGATCGAAAGACATAAATAGGATTTTAAACACGCGTTTCTGAGCCGTGTATCTATAAGATAGAGATCACGTGGCTGTGCAAGTTACCGACCCAAGCTGAGCGAGACCGCAGAACATGAGAAAAAACAAAAGAGATGGAAAGACAGACATACCTTCCATAGGCGTAGTAGAGGTAAGGGAAGAGGAGGACTCGACAGATGAAAAAAGTGATCAGCATAAGAGCCCCATTCACTTTGTGCAGGAGAGTGTGTTGCTGTTTGTACTGAAAGCAGAGAAAAGCAGAGGGAGAGGTCGAAAGAGAGGGAGGAAGAAGAGCAAGCAGTAGTTTGATGAAAGCTGTTATATTTGCGAATACTATCTGCACGGACGGAACACGTGGCGAGAGCACCGTATGCCGTGCAGCTGGTTTCTACAGGAGGCAGCGTGCGTCAGTGAAGCAGTGCTCATTTGTTTACAGCTGATGACTTAACTTTTATCTTGATCGTTCAACCTGCTTCAGTGAGATAACACTGAGGACAAACTGACACACATGGTTTTAAAAATGGTTTTCGCACCCTATTGTTTTTATTCTTTAGGTACAAGAGGGCGGCTCTACAAGGCCACAGCTTTGAGCCAGTTGTTTATCAAACGGCCACATGCACTGTTGCTAGTGACGGGGAGGGTGTCGAGTGGAGTGATAAGAGGGTAGAAGGACAAGCTGATATTGTATCTGCTGAATATCCGGTCAAAATACTCGGGGCTATATTCAGAGGCCAACAGCTGTGGGAGCCTCCGATGGGGGACAAGCAGAAAGCAGTGAAGGGAAAAACCTTTATCTGGACACTGAAACATTACACACACACACACCCCCACACCCCCACCCCCCCACACACACACACACACACACACACACACACACACACACACACGCGCACACAAAACAAAACAAATACGGGGGGTGCAGCTCTTACAACGTGTATTCAAGCACACTGCGTTACCAATTAATGCCTGATGTTCTCGACAGTGCTGTTCATGTAAGACAGTCAACGGGAGCTGATGGACATGAACAAGGTGCATGCTGGGAGTGACCGGAAATATATTCTCCATGGAATGAAAATGGGAGGGGGAAAAAATAAGTAAAGAGTGCAGTGGAACTTTAGTGTGACAGACACAAGCACATGCAACAACGCACCCAACTCGTCTTTGAGGCTGAACCAACACACTTACCTGGATGAGTATTTTTCCTAAGCAGACGGATGGAGTGCTGAGCTCAGCCATGAACATTACACCCTGGAAATAATCTCCTTTTCCTTGTCGCCAAAACTAGAGAGCGAAAAAGAGGTTGATTATTTTTCTAGAATGCAATTACAGTGTGGATGGCTTTCTAATGTCTCTATAAGCATTATGATCTCATACAACTTATAGCGACAGTTACCACAGAGACGGGGAAGCACACGGTGACCATGACCACGTGGTGCAGCACCATGAGGAACTCGCGACGCAAGTAGCTGGTCAGCGCTGTGCTCATGTGCTGGGGCGCTGCCGAGGCCTCCTCGTGCCCTTTGACCCGAAGCTTGTACCAGTAGCACATGAACATTGCGTAGATGTCGTACACGAAGTAGGGAACAGCAAACATGATGTAACTGCTTGTCAGCCAATGCCTGCGTAGAGAGGAGGAGAAGCCGGCTAAGAATGCATATCAATTTAACAGTATGAGCAAGGAATTCCCTCAGAAAGAGACGTTTTGATGAGAAAAAAAAATGTAAAACTGTGTATACCTTGATCAACATAAAGTCAAATGGTAAACATTTGTAGCTGATGCATGACAGAGAGTGCCTTTGAATGGCGCATCTTAAAGCCTTGGAAATTACAAATCCCGAAAGTTGATTTGTTTCATGCACTAACAAGACAGAACACACACTGGTCGAATGGGGTGGAATATATTCTGGAGAACATTTCTTGACTTACTGGTCCTCGAGGATGTCCTCGCAGGAAGAAGCAATGATGTAGCCAGCTGAAGAGGCCATGACTGCCTGAATTGATGAAACCAACCTGGGAGCAGAAAATGGCAAGATGATTACAAACAATGCATTTCTCATTAGCCAATGCAGTGAAAGAGTTCAGACTAGTCTAGTTAACACATGGTAAGAAAGTAGAGCCCATATGCTTGTAAGCAAACAATATGCAGCTGAAAGATCTTGGTAAATGACACAAGTGCAGCTGCAACAACCTGCTGTATTTAAGTTACACAAAAAACCTGCACGAGTCTTGACGAAAACAAGTTTAAGAAGGTCTCACCTGGCGGATACAATGACTGCATCTCCTTCGCTCCACCTCAGAGCTGGGATTGACTTCAGGCATTGTTTGGACAGCAGGAAGAGGCCTGGAAAGAACACAGACCCAGCAGCTAGAATGGTCAGCATGGTCCCTGGCGATCTGTCTGAGAGGCAAAAGGTTCAGCGGGCAATCTGGTCCTTGAGATCCGTCGTTCTTTCCCCTCTCTGAAACACACAAAATATCAAAGGGTGAATAAACAATTCATATTGATCTCACTAGTGGCAACTTCCAGGTCTATACATTAGCAGCACTAAGACAAAGCGTATAATAAAAGTCCAACATGTGTGGCAATGTATTGTTCAATATTAATTTGAGGCCTTTGATGTACATTTAAAGATGAAGTGGGGTAAACAGACAGGCACAATGTGGAAAACTTATTTAAGATGTAAAAAGGGAAGGTGCCTGGGATCCAAATCAGGGAGACTATACAAATGTGAGTGCAGTGGCAGAATAACAGAAGGCCCTTTTGTGCAGCATGCTGCTCCATCCATCTGATGACATTGTGCGCCTTATTCACTTCCCCATGTATTCCTAGGGCAACCATGTGGTAGATGCATGCAGTATTATTACACTAGACTAGCTGACTCAATAAAAAGTCGATGTCCATTAGCAAAATACGCATTGCGTTTTTTTTGTTTTTTTTAAATCCTGATGTATGGGCTACAGTGATGTTACCTGTCTGAAATGAGAATCACTTGCCAAGCTCTTGACAGGCAATGTTAGCTAACCACAGAGTGGAATTGAGACCGACTGTAGGTTGACATACAGCTAAACTACTCAGGTATTGACGCGGATCTGACAATTGTTAAACGTTAACATAAGCTTAAGCAACTTTGTCTAAATTGTGTCCGAGAGCCCACGCCAAATGTATGCTAACGTTGACGTTATACAGAACGCTTTCCATTGAACACACCGGCTATTCAAGCTAAAATTAACACCAGATAGCTCAAGTAACGCCAATTACAGAGCTTATTTATTTTGTTATCAGTTTGAAGCGAGGAAAACTGGGTCAACCACCATGCACGTGTGAGACGTTATATTTAGTGAACAGAGGCGCTATTGCTAACATTAAATGCAGTCCCTCCCTTAGGTAAGCATGACCAATGCTAACAATGACGCTAGGACCGTTAGCCAACATTAGCATCTCCCGAAATGTGGCTATAGCCGTTAGTCACCGCTGGCTTAGTTAGCAACCATTCCGTTTAGTCCAAATCCAAATAGTTAGCAAGAAGATGACACCCAATAAACAATAACTGACAATTGAATGCACCACGGTACGTGTTTTGTCACGTATTCGTGGTAACGTTAAACTGTTCAGTTAGCTTGTTATTTGTTTGTAGCAGCTAAGCTAACCGACACCGTGGAAGCTAACAGATTGGAGTTAAGCAACACATGTTCAGAATAAATGAAGAATCTTAAAGCAACATTTACACAAAAGACTCTGCAGAGTCCAGTCAGCGGCTAGTCGAAAGCTCGTGTCCTCCAGAAAGTGTTTAACGTTAGAGATGTCCCAGGGGTCTCCGCCTCGATGATCCGCATGTTTATGTGGCCACTTCGATGTCTGAAGGGTAGCAGCAGCGAGCTAACGCTAGCTTGCAGCACGTTAGATCGACATCTATGTGAGGGTAGCTCAGTGAGAGCATTGGTGACTGGCCTGCTTCAAGCAAGCTTAAGCAAATAGCCAAGTGAAAAACGGTCAAAAGTGACGGAAAAAAAACCAATGTCACAATCTGATCCAGGTGTCAATGTAACGGTAGCCTGTCTAGTCGCTATGTCATCTCATCAGACCAGAGATGCCGCTGTCTCAGCCTCGCAGATTGCAACGTTGACTCAACGCTGTGGACTGCTGCGCAAGCTAGTTCCTACAGGTCCAGGGGTAGCAGCTCATGTCATGACGAGAAACGTGCACCAGTCACTGCACTGCATTTTTCTTTAGTTTGCAATATCCAATCTGACCCCTTACAAAAAAAGGAAGGAATTTACATGCAAACAAAAGGACTCTGTATGTGTGTATTTAATTAAAATAACCATAACCCTATTAAAAATAATAAAAGGCAGTCACTTACCATTAATGCCAGCTGTGTTTGTAAAGACTTATTTACGTGTTTGTCATGGACCGGTTGGTTATTTGACCTTTAAATGGACCTGCATTTGCAAATAAACTGATAAATGATCAGTCCTTATCTGCACATTATCAGAGATGCTTGGTATGTGTGAATGCTCATTCTTCTGACATGTTGCACCATTGCAAACCTTGATGTATTTGTAGGCTGGCAGATTGCATGCTAATCAATGCAACACTGTTCAGGCTTTGCATTGATAACCCTGCCCTGTTCTAAGAGTTAAACTGTAACAGCAGCTTGCACAGCCTACAACTGGAAACATCTGTAAAAGAGTACAAGAAGTAGATTAGGGAGAAAAGCTACACATTTGTTGAGTAGAATATCTCCTTTTGGTCTGCTATGTACTTCATGGTCCTATCAATTGTGTATAATTCACAACACTTACTGTATCGTGTCCATAACTAATAATTTACTCAAAGCTTGTAAATGATTAGTTGTGGAGTAGTAAGACCTTAATACACACACGTGGAAACAAAAGATACTATATGCAACACACAGGTAGGTGAAAGAAATATAATCAAATGCATAAATAAAAACATATAAAAGCAAAAATCATCAATTCAGTACACAAGGAAAGTAAATGTAGAAAAATCACAGCTTTGAGACGTGATTGTTTATTGCAATGTAATAATGTTAGTGTGCGTGTTAGAATTAACTTGTTTTGGAGTACCCACTTAATTTAAACTACTTTCAACAGTCTGTGGAGAATATCTACGAACTTGTCTTCAGCTTTACTATACAGTGATCCTCCCTTTGCACTGTATGTTGGCTTCTGTCAATGAATAGAATGAGTTCCTCTTCAAAGCTAGATTAAAGTGATTAATAGCGAAAGACATCACTCAGGAAACAGGAGAAGTGATCTTTACACACTGTTGTTTAGACAGGTGCAATAAGTAACATGTGACTAAGTAACAAAAATCAGATCCTGCACTCTGTCAACATTACATTTACTGAATAGCAAGATAACTTTGTCTGAATACATCTTCCTATTTCTACGAGGAACGCTGTTCTGCTTTCAGAGATGCTGATCAAATGCTCGGGTCTGAAATTCTCTTTTCTGGTTAACTGGATACCAGTTTGGTGGCACATAAATGAACCGAGTCGACTTCCCATTGATGCGTCAAACACGCTCACAGTGACTTGATCCTTTCTTACTGGTGTGCATCATCAATTAATGATACATCCTGCGTTATTAAACACATTAAATCATAATGAGTCATGTGTTAATTAGGCATTACGAAAGCATTTGCTTTGTACCCGTATTATTAAGTGTTACCAGTGACAGACACAAATGGCGGTGTAGTAGATGAACAGATGAAACAAAGCCCATTTACTCTTTTTACTTTAAATTGTCCAAATTACAAAATAATAACATGATCTCTACTTCATCTACAAAATAACATATTTATGACTGTATTAAGCATCATCGATTTTTTTTTTTTTTGCTCTAACAACCTTTTAGACATGCATACTGTTGAGAAATATAAAAATATAAATATAAATACATCCCATTAATATTCTTAATGAATCCATGACTAAGATTTGAAATATTTCATCATAAAAGAATTAAAATGCAGTTGAGTACGATAAGGCATTAAGATGTATCACAAGAGCTGTACAGAATCCTAGAGTAGAGGTAATATTCTTTTCTTAGTGTGATGGAGAAAAACCTAAAAATTAATGTTTTAATAAATCACTAATTTTCTCAACAGGAAGAACACATTTCCAAAGGAGAAAAAAAAGAAAGAAAAGAAGTGAAGGAAGAAAGAAACAACTCTACAAATGTCAAGCTAACATTAACACAAAACGGGAAAAGCACTCCAGTACAAAACCAGGATTTGTTTACAGCATACCAAGTAGTGTTGTCAAACTCTCATTGTACTTATGACTTTATAAGCCCTCTCTCAACACCACATCACTCACAACAGAACCTAAAGCAACCAAAGATATCCAACAGACAGGTGACCATTCTCCTCATGATTAATGTAGATCGATAATGACTTGCGTTCAGAGCGTGATGTGCTGTACAGAGTTAAATGACTAAATCTAATGCATAAGTTTCACTCATTGGACTGGTACATAGAGAAAACAAAAAGGGACTATGGCAATGACGGTTACAATCAAATGAATGGCCAACAATGTTTAAAATATTCTGAATAAAATCAACACTTTTTTTAATAAATATTATTGTTTACAGCCAACTAACTTGGTGGAACTGCGAAAGGTTTCTTTTTGTCATGACAGCTCCCTAACAATAAGCATGACCGAGCTTAAATTCATGCAAAAGGTACGTTTTCGAGTGCAAGAATTGCCATGTCAGAAGCTAGAGTGTTGATGAGCAGTTATGTTTCTTTTTTTTTTTCTTTAAATGGCCAGACCAAGAGAGGAAGACTCAGAGCAAGAAAATCCAAGACATCTCAAGCCCATTTCGATCCTTGCTGAATCAAAGAATAACGACTTAAGGTGCTTGACATTCCTGAACACGACTCTGTTTGTATCTCTGTACCTTTAGGAAACAAATGAACAAGTACATCCCACATTTCCATACTGGCCACAACACGTATGGCCTTCCATCCTGATCAATAAACAGCCCTCTGGAGACTTATTAACCTGGCATTACAGCTTTGCAAAAAAAAAAAAAAAGTCATATGATTTTAGTTTTGTGAACAAACAAGCTAACATGCTAGCGGAGCCCTGACTTGCGCACGCACACACACACACGCACACACACACACACACACACACACACACACAACCAAAACACACAACTCTCCTTTCTACTGGTTTCTGAGCTATTCTCTCTCTACTACTTCTTAACGCAAGCCATTTGGATTCTTAGAAAGTGAGCTGCAAAATGGAGGTAAGATCAGAGCTGGTGTGAGATATACAGTACTTGGTGCACTTGCAGAGAGCAGCCAGGGTTCGAGGGGAGGGACAGAGAGAGAGAGAGAGAGAGAGAGAGAGAGGGGAGAGTAATACAGTAGATGCCCACAATACCACAGTTCCACTGGTGTCTTAAATGCACGAGAGCATTCAGGAATATTTGGACAACACATCCATGTTTGTCGTTGGTGTCATTGAACCTGCTGCAGCCACAAAGGTCCGTCTTTCCATGACTTCACTGCTCTATTAATACAGCCTCCTTTTCACTGACGCTCCAGCTGTGAGGAGATACTGCCCTGGACTGGAGTTAATCTCCCCCACTTTTTTAATCCTAACCATACCTAGAAGTGGGGACATTACAAAACTGACACCGGATCAGCATCTACGCGTGACTTTAACCGTCTCTAACCTTGCCCTCTGTTAAGGGACTGAGGTTATTATTGCTGAGCTCTCTACTGCTAACTGTGGGATTGTGGAGCTGCAATGCTCGAGCAGTCCGTGACAAGCAGGTCCACCACCGTGTTGCCAGTGACGTACACGGTAGGCGCCGTCACCATGTTGCTGAGGGAGACAGAGCTGCTGGCAGCCACGTTAGAGGTGATGGGGCTCGGGGCACCCTGGATGTTGCTGTGGGTGCCCATGTGCCCCTGGAGCTGGGTGGGAGTCTTGCAGTGGATGCCGCACAGGTGGCACACGAGTATTCCACCGGAGGTTGTGCCGAAGCCCCCCGGACTGTCCTTCCACTCCTGCCCATGGTGCTTCTGGGCGTGGACACGAAGGTACGTCAGTGTGGTGAAGCCTGACGGAGGAGAGCGGAGACGAGAGAGAAGTGACTAAAAATGACCTCGAAAGGAAAATGATGAACTCTCAAAAATGTGGCAGCGGTGAAAATGGAATCTCATCATTATGCTCTTGTCGTGGCGCTTTTGTAAGCCCACTCTGTTGTCACCAATACATATCAAAGTATTCACGACGGATCCTTTAATGTGAACTTACTGCGGTTACAGAGATGGCAAGCGTGGTGCTGTGACTGGTTGTGCACCCTCATGTGATCTGTGATGTAAGCAGCAGACAGGAGCTTGCCACAGATGTGGCACGGGACCTTCTCCTCGTGGCGAATCATATGCGCACGCAAACGATCCTTCGTGGCAAAGCTGGACTCACAGGTCTGGAAAAAAAAAAGACGTAGTCGATGAGTGATTACGGGGAAGAAAGCAAAAACCTACGCACCAGACTGTGCACGTAGTTTGAAAATGTGTGCACAAAAAGAAATTCTAATAATTATTTTTATATATAATTGTTAAGTTTCACACATTGTCACCTTGTAGTCGTTTAAGTTATGAAATAACATCAGTATGAGGCCGCTGAAGACAGATTTAAGTGCGGTAATGTACAAAACCTCGACCTCGAGTCACACTGTGCATGTAAACATGGTCATTGTAAACATGAAAGAACTAAAAAAAAAAAAAATGCTGTGTGCAACTGGCAGGTGCGGCTGTCACACAGGGTAAACATGACGCACCGGGCATTTGAAGGGTCGCTCCGAGGAGTGTACCTGTCTGACGTGACTGTTTAGATGGTCAGGCCTTGGGAGAGAAAGAGAGTGAACTTGTTAGGACAGATCACGCTTTCACACTCAAGGAAAAGGTGAGAACATTTGTGTGTAATGTCGGGGAGAACCCCTTTCTCTAGTTAGCTCAACATGCTTTCTTGTCAGGAGTTAGCCGAGAAGATCGTTACCACTCTCACATCTGTACGCTAAGTAGGAAGCTACAGCCGGCAGATAGTTTAGATAGATTAGTTTGTTCTCCAGAGCCAGCTGTTTCGTCTTTACGCTAAGCTAAGCTAAAAAGACAACTTTCTCAACCCTGACAGTGAATGCTTTGTCACCTGGAGAAAGCCTTGCCACAGTGGGGGCAGACGTAGGGCTTTTCCACCCCTCCCTGGTGGGAGCGCACGTGATGGCTCATGCGGTCCTTCCTCTTGAAGCGCTGCTGGCAGATGGGACACGAGAACGGCTTCTCGTCCGAGTGGGATAGGCGGTGGCGGTTGAGGTGGTAAACGTCGCGGAAGGCCTTCCCACATGTCTCGCAGGCGTGGTTCTTCCTCACCGGGTTCGGGTTGGGATTCGCAGGCCGCTGAGGCAAAACAGACAAGCGGGTGAACACACAACAGCGTTTAGATGGAAAGTAGAAGTACAGTTATAAACACAAACACACGAACTATTGTTATATCTTTTGTTGTAACCATGCAAATGCACAAAGATGTTCTTGCCTAATTTGTACCAATGTTGATTCACATGTTAGATTAACTACGTCCCACTGGATGGAGTCTTTATCTGCTTTCACGCTGTTTTGTGTTACAGAGAACATGCAGTGGAGCGTGGGGGGGGGCTTCTAGCACGTTGTTTTCTCAAACTGGGGACCAGTGCCAAACACTGGGATGGGATTTACTGGTCCCTGAACGGATTACTGCACATGGACGTTTTGTAGAATTCAACACACGGGAGTGACACACAGGAACTGCTTACAGGTCCCAAACAGTTACAAAACATAAACAAAGGGTGGGTTAACCATCCCAGGCAGCTTAAGAAACAACATGCTTGAAGGTTTGGGGTTGATGACAGCCATCTCCACAAGGCCCTGACCCACCTGTACTGTCGCCCCTGTGGCCATGACGACAGCAGCAGGAGGCGGAGCATGGGGGTTAACACTAGCCATTACGTTAGCCATGGCCACCCCTTCACCATCCTGACTACCCAGGGGAAGCTGCTGGGCCCCCGCCAGCACGACAGGAGGGGCGAGAGGGGGAGGTGCGGAGAGGTGTAGCAGGGAGAGGGGAACAGTGGGCCTCTCCACCCTCCCTCCAGCCCCCACCGCCATCGCCGACGGGGCCGCCACCGCCACCTGGCCGGTTGCTCCCTCCTTTGCCCCCTGCGCCTGCTCTCTGGCCCTGTCCTTCATGCGTACCCCAGTGTGGACCGACTGGTGCCGCCGCAGGTTGTAGTTGTTCTTGAACTGCTTGTTGCAGATGGCACAGATGTGGGGCATGCGGGCCGGCCGAGACACTGGCTTCACTGGACCACAGGAAGGCCGGGGGAGGAGACAGAAAGAAAGAGAGACGTTAATGTCAAAGAAGGTGATTTGGTTGTTTTTAAACAGGTGTAATAACCTTTCACCTTTCAGGCATGTTAGGTTACAGTAGCATCAAACAAGCAATTTGAAGAGGTAATTAACTACAATGTTCTCTTCTCCATGTTACTCCAATCGACAATCACAAATCCCCCAAAAATAATCAGTTTACCATCACAGAAGTCAACAAAGACTAGCAAATATTCTCATTTGAGACACTGAAAATAGTGAACTTTTGGCAATTTTGCTTCGAAAAATTACTGAAATGATTAATTATCAAAATAGTTGCCGGTTAATATCCAGTCAGTTGACTAATTGTTTCTGCTCTAATCATAAATTGTAGCTCTACTGAGCATCGAGGCCCAGATGCGTCTCTAAATGTGTGGTAATGACATCTTATTAGGGTTTAATAACAGTAATCATGCTACACGTATCAAAGAAATAAATATTAACAAACATTGAGATACTGTTGTGCAAAATGTCCACATATCCTGAATGATCACGTGATGAATTTTAATGTCTTTGATCGTATAGAATGTAAGCAATATTAATTTGACTGAAATAATACAAACATTACGTCTTTTCACCTGCAAATGACCAAAAATCAATGTCACCGGGTTTTTAATCACCTGAGTGACTCAAATACTGGCAGTTATGCAGTTTAGAGTTAAGTGTAATGTATGTAGTCTCGTCAGCTCCACAGGTGTAGGATGCCGTGCAGTGTCCCTCACCAGGCAGGGGCTCCTCACTGAGAGCAGCAGTGTCCACAGTGGAGGGAGGCTGTGCTATGTGCTCTGTGGGTGGGGTTTGGGGAGAACTCGTATGCACGGGCATGAGCTCTGATTGGAGGCTCCCGTCCACTTGGTTTTGGGTGGGAGTATTCTGGAGAAGCAAGTAGAAGGCCATCACCAAATGTAAACACAAGTCACAGCATTATCTTGAGGCGCTAACGTTGAAATACGAGACGTGAGGGCCGCGGGACCGCCGGACACACATTGTGAGAGAATGCGCGCAGTTAGAATGAGAGCAGGAGAGAAACAAAAAGAGAGGCCAGTAATGCCTGCTCAACAAGCCTACCTGGAAGAGAAAATTGCTCCAAGAAGCATCCATTTTGCGCGATGGAGATTATAAAGTCAGCTCCTGATTGAGATCGGGCAGGGCAGCCTTTGCATGGTTTTGGATCGGCCCACCGGTGATTGAGGCGCAAACAGGCGCCTGTCCCGCAGCAGAAAACGACGGGCTTCTGGATTTGCTTTTGAAAAACGTGAATAAAGTCGTGTGCAAAAATATGTTTTTTGTCACTGAGGTAGCCCTAATGCTGTCGATTAAAATGCACGCAGCTGTTGACTAACGCAGGCTGCGGCGGCTCAGGCAGCAGCGGAGCAGGCCAGGTCCAACAATGGCCTGTTTCTCTTTTCACTTTGGTTCCTAACTTTAGTTCACTCAACACTAATCTTACTCAAACGCAATACCACACAACACAACTGCTTTCAAAAACCATTAAAAAAATTTTTTAAATCGCATATTACAGTCTCACACTTTCGCAATAAACATAAACCATTCTACGTGGAGAAAAAAAAATGCATTTTTACGCAAGAGAACAAATATGGGTTATAACACACGTATCTGTCAGCACAGCAGCTCATGCTTTGTTTTTAATTTATGAATCTATTTTTCCGATTTCTCCCAATAGGCCAATCGGGTGTTTTGTCGAAGCCTCGTTGTTGGATTCAAGCCCTGACCCCGGCGAGCGGCGCTCTCGCCGGGCCGCAGCCTATCGCTCCACCTCGGCCGTTCAGCTGCGAGGATGTCATCTTTCTTTTTTTATCGCCCGCTCTCCCTCCTCCCTCCCTGTCTCTTTCTTCCTTTTCTTTTTTAATTCCTCTTTCTTCTCCCCCTCCTCTCCTTTTCTCGCACCGCTATGTCCCACTTGCTCTTAAAGGGATAGGGTTTCCTCTTTGGACACCCCCTCTCATTTCCGTCTCCCTCGGCGGGGCCTGTCCTCCTCCCCTTCCTTCCTGGAGGTTTGTCGGCCGACACAAAATGCACCACCGTAGTTTTTTTTCTTTTTTTTTCCCCCTCCTTCCTCGCGCCAGCAGGAACTGATCTCCTCGTGCACCGCAGGAAGCAGCCAGAATGACTTTCCATTAACGGCGAGATGACAGACGCATCTTAAAGGGGAGTGTGCACAGATCCTCCGAGTCGGCCAATAATAATGATGTCAGAGTTAGATATAGACCACAGACGAATAGCAGCTCCGGATGTACACACAATAGATGAGAATAGATGTGCATAAGTACAGATACACTTCCTGTTTATGCACATATACAAATGTAACACATGGTATTGTTAATATATATACAGCGGGTAAAATAAGTATTGAACACGTCACCATTTTGCTCAGTAAATATATTTCTAAAGGTGCTATTGACATGAAATTTTCACCAGATGTCGGTAACAACCCAAGTAATCCATACATACAAAGAAAACCAAACAAATAAGTTCAGAAATTAAGTTATGTGTAATAAAATGGAATGACAGGGAAAAAGTATTGAACACGCTTACTGAAATTGATTAACTACTTTGTACAAAAGCCTTTGTTGGTAAGGACAGCTTCAAGACGCCTCCTGTATGGAGAAACTAGTCGCATGCATTGCTCAGGTGTGATTTTGACCCATTCTTCCACACAAACAGTCTTCAAATCTTGAAGGTTCCGTGGGCCTCTTCTATGAACTCTGATCTATAGTTCTTTCCATAGATTATCTATTGGATTCAAGTCAGGTGATTGGCTGGGCCATTCTAGCAGCTTTATTTTCTTTCTCTGAAACCAATTGAGCACTGTTGGGGCCATAATCCGGAAGTGGAAAGAACACAATTTCACCATAAACCGGCCACGACCAGGTTCTCCTCGCAAGATTTCTGACAGAGGAGTGAAAAGAATTATCAGAAGAGTTGTCCAAGAGCCAAGGACCACTTGTGGAGAGCTTCAGAAAGACCTGGAATTAGCAGGTACAATAGTTTCAAAGAAAACAATAAGTAATGCACTCAACCGCCGTGGCCTGTATGCACGCTCACCGCACGCAAGACTCCATTGCTGAAGAAAAAGCATGTTGATGCTCGTTTAAAGTTTGCTGCACATTTAGACAAGCCTGTGAAATACTGGGAGAATATAGTCTGGTCAGATGAGACCAAAATTGAACTCTTTGGATGCCATAATACACAGCATGTTTGGAGGTCAAATGGCACTGCACATCACCCCAAAAACACCATACCAACAGTGAAGTTTGGAGGTGGGAACATCATGGTGTGGGGCTGTTTCTCAGCATACGGCACTGGCAAACTTCATATAATTGAAGGAAGGATGAATGGAAAAATGTACTGAGAGATTCTTGATAAAAATCTGCTCCCATCTACCAGGATGATGGAGATGAAACAAGGGTGGACATTCCAGCATGACATTGATCCCAAACACACAGCCAAGGAAACTCAATTTTTTTCTTTGTATGTATAGATTACTTGGGTTGTTACCGACATCTGGTGAAAAGTTCATGTCAATAGCACCTTTAGAAATATATTTACTGAGAAAAATGGTGACGTGTTCAATACTTATTTTACCCGCTGTATATATATCAAAGTAGTAACACTCTATAATAATAATATAACAATAAACTAAACGATTACTCGATTAATCCATTGTCAAAAGACACAAAATGATCATTTAAATCACCCAAATTTACAGGTTTCAGCTTCTTAAATGTGAATATTAATTATTTTGTAATGACTTTAAATATATATTATTGTATTATGTAATATATTTAGGGTTTTGACTGCTAGTCAGACGACATAACACATTTTAATATGTCAACATGGGCTTTGCAACAGAGATTTTGTTTTTACAAATTTCTGACATTTCATGGACCAAGATCGATCGATAATTATACGACAATGAAACAAGCGATTATTTTTGCTATCCATAAATCTTTAGATTATTTTCTCTATTAATTATTTGGTCCATAACATTTTAGAAAATAGTAAAAAACAGTGTGCCTCATAATTTCCCAAAGCCCAAGTTGACATATTCAAACATCAGAAACCAGAAGATATAAGAATGTAATATAATAGACGACGAAAACAATCCCAGCAAATATTCACATTTGAGAAAGTGGAGGAGAAATTTTATAGCATTTTTATTTTAAAAAGTAATTTAATTAATTATCTAATTAGCTGATTATTTTCTGACAATTAACTTATAGATTAAATGACTGTAATAAACATCCTCATAATAATGCCATGTGCGTAAAGTACATCAAATAAAGACAAGGTAATGTGTTAATATCAATTTATTATCTTGTTTTTTTTAAATTACTTTTTAAAGCACCCTATTTCTTTTCCAATACATGTGTTAAGACCCTTCCTTCTTCTCCTCCTCAGCCTTGGAATGGCTTGATTTGGAATATTTAATAAGGATTTCAAACCCCCCCGCCCCCCCGAAAACTCTGCAAATCACAGATGAGCCTGTGTTGCTTCTTTGTCTTCATCTTTCATCCAGGCATGATGCAGGAACTGAGACTCCCTGCTCTCGCCACGACCTCCGACACTAAAAACACTACCACACCGATTTCCCCAACACAAAGGCCGTCCCGAAACCCGCCAGTCTTAGTTTATATAAGGAGTTTATGCATGCACTGAGATTCCAACCGAGCATAAAGTAGTAGGTTATACAGAGAATTGTCTTGAGCTGGTGTTTCTGAGTCGTACAAACAGCAGGGTGATTATCTTTTTTCACTTTTTTTTTTTCTTCAATTAAAACAAAATAATAATAAAAAAAAAAACACCAACAAAACATTTCCAGTTGTTTCTGATCTCCTTCACGTAAATGAACCAACAGAAGCACCACGTGCAACAAAAAAAAACACTGACTGGTGTATTTATCTGTGAGGACGGGCTACTGCGGTCACTGCAGCTGTGCCGGCACAAGAGGGTGCATGTTCACAGCAGCTCAGTCGACGCCCGTCCTCTCTCTTCTTCTTCTTCTTCTTCTTCTTCTTCACACACCAGTTGCATGCTGCACCCTTCAGCAGTAGGATTATCAACTAGGAGTGAGCACCTGTTTCTTCCGTTTCTTTTTGTCCATGCTTCCTTCGAGAGCTTCTGTGTGGAAACTTATTCCCACACTAAAAACAAATAAATAAATAAAAGGAAAACCAGCATTCACATTTACATTCCAGTGCCCAATTGTAAAATCTTCTATTGTTTCCTGTGAGAGTCCAGAGGAGGTCAGAGTTCACGTGAATAGTCGGATGTTGCTGCTGTCGGAGTGTCTTTTAAAATGCAATTGTTTCGTCTAAAAAAAAGTGCCAATATAACTAGAGTTTACCGCTTGACACACACACATGAATCATTAACAATTATTAATAATCCCTCATTAATAATCATTAATACCTTGAATACACACCATACCTGACAACAGTTTATCATCTATTTTTATACAGTCAAAAGTGGGCCCTTTTCTTCTTCGCGAGAAAAATGTGAACATGATCACAACAACGATTACACCAGGATTAGTTATGGTAATATTGACACCTATAGAAAATGCAGTTGGAGTTGTCGCTCTAAATCTTGAATTCAATACTCATTTGAATATATCAAAATTACTATCATTATCTTTGTTACTCTATAAAACCAATGACTCCTTTTTGTTTTTACTATTCCCATAAATATGTACAGCAAAGATCAAAAATGTGGGACAAGTGATCTTCAATGCCAGTGAAACTTGGACAGGTACGGTACGTTTCAAATGTCGTTTGGTCATGTCTACAAATGGGTTTTTTTGTACATCTATCTCATGCATGGGGGTGACTCCCATCGACACCTATGTTGTTTAGATATTCAATATGTCATGGATGCCAGAAAGCTTTTTTTTTTTTGTATTTTTACATGTCCACACAAATGTTTCTCCTCATCCCCACTGCATCTTTAGAACAGAGTCTATTGCCTTTACAAACATTCTGTTTTTAAATCATCTCGCAGTCATCAAATAAAAATTTTGATGGCACGGCATCCCTTTAAGAACCCCTTAAAGGCATTGGTGACGTTCCAAGAAACCTGTTTTTGTGTTTTTTTTAAATACACTTAATACAAAAAAATCAACAAAACATCAACATTTGTAAATCAATAAAATTGTTTTCAAATCCCCCAGCAGGCTGGAGACTAAAGACACCCATCGTTTGTGATTCTCCCCCTTTTTCCTTTCTGGAGCTGCAGTTACGAGTGCTCGCTAGATTTATCTGGACACTACAGACTACGTACAAGTACATACACAATGCAAAAGAACACCTTTTTTTCCTCCCCGTCCTCTCTCTTTCTCCATTCCAGCATAGAACATCATAGAAGAAGACATGGCTGCCGTTCCCTCTCTCTGCAGCTCTGGGAGAAAAAACAAAAAAGGGCAAAATACCCCTCCTCTCACACGTCCTGTCTCACTTTGATACAGGTAGTAACAAAGATAAAAACATTAAACACAAACCTTTTTTTTTTTTTTTCTGTTAATCTAATGTCACCTTAATCCAGTGGTATTACAGGTGTTTACATTCCTCCCTCCCTCTTTTGTACCTGTGAGAATGGGAGAAAGCCTCTCTACCCACCCCGAGTCTAAAGGAGCAGGCTGCAGCTCAACAATGTCAGTTTGTCCTCTCTTCGCCTCTGATGATGACTGATCTCTTTCTGTGCGTTAAGAGGAAAGGCCGATATCCTTTCAGCTATTCTGAGAGGAGAGATCAGTCCAAGAAAGGACACGAGGCAAGGTGGCAAGCTGAGAGTATTGAGATGCAACCTGGAATAGCTACCTTCCTAAATCACTCCCCCCACCCCTTCATGCTACCACCCTGCCATCTAAGAGTAGGAGAGGTGGGAGCCATTAGAGATGTGAGAAGTGACTGAGGTGCTCCGGCTCAGGACGCCGTCGCTGCCCCCGGCTCCTCCGGGCCCTCCGCCGGACGCCGTCCTCCTCAGAGGCTGGGGGCTGTTCCTCAGGGCCATCAAGCCGGGGGCACCGCGCACACCCAGCCCGCTGCCGGAGTAGATCCCCCCCTGCGAGGAGGAGGAGGAAGAGGAAGAGGAGGACGGGCCAGAGATGGAGGGAGGGGCGGGCGGCGGTGGAGGTAGCATGGCCAGGGACTGAGAGGAG